GAGCTCTCACTGCCCTGTGCCACAATGTGCATCTCCATTTCACAAGGGAGCCAAGCTAGTGAGCCTGAGCTGCCAAAGGGATCAGCTGGGAATGGATCCCACATATTCAGCTCCCAGGCCTCCTCCCTCCTGCTCTGTATTACTCCTGTTATTCCCTGGCAAGAAGAATTACAGTCCAGGTGATTCACAGAGAGGACAGCATAACCCTGTCTGAGTGTAAGAAATGACTGAGCAAACAAAGCACTTGAGCCCTGCCTGTGGTTTTTTGGCACACAGCTCACCAAGCCCTTTACAGGGGACACTGAGGTCATTTCTTAAGTTATCAAACCAAGAAACAGAGACTAACCAAGCTGCCCAAGGTCACCCAGCACGTCAGAGACAGTCAGGAAGTGAATGGTGATCTTGTTCCCTCATTTCTCCCTGCCCACTGGCCCACTAGTCCTCATGGCAGCCCCAACCTCCTCCCATTTTGAGGCAGGGCTTCTTTTAACCTTTGCAATTACACAGCATGTCCCTGAAGGCTCCTTGTCCCTGCCTGAGGAGGGACTCCCTTGGCTGATTTGAGATGCAGATTACAAGGCAGAGAGCTGGGCAGGCGGGGACACAGCTCTCACCAGCCTGATGGGGAAAGCCAGTCCCTCATCTTTCATCACCCACCTCCGAGCAGCAACACCACCCTGTGCTGCCACCTCAGAGGGTCCAGCTCTGCTCCTGCTGCCCTTGGACCACATCGAGGTGCCACCTGCCACCTCTCCTCTCAGGCCTGGCCTGCACTTGGCTGCAAAATGATTTCAAGGCACCACAGGACTTACAATTTCTTTCACCATGTTCTGCTGCTCCTGCACCGTGGCTGTGAAGGGCGGGAGGCCGTCAGCTTTACCAGTCCCTTGCTCTTTAGAGTCCTTGACAAAATCCACCTGCAAGGTACAGATGTGGGTGTTATTCTGTAACCACAGCAGCGTCAAACCTCCCGCCAGACCCTCCTGGGCCGAGCAGTTACCTCTGAGGACAGGCACACGTATCTGTTGAACATGAGGAAGAAGGGGCTGTACTTGGTGGCCGAGTTGACCGAGGTGCGGAAATGGAAGAGCACGGGGTCCAGGTGAGCGTCCCACTCGCTGGGCTTCTCATTCACCAAGTTGCAGATGGAGGACCTGAGCACCTCAGCACTGGGATCCTCCAGGCTGTCAGTGGGGTCTGCAGGGGTGAGGACCTGTGAGATGTTCCAGCGCTCGCACAGCTGCCGGCTGACCTGCAAAGGAGGGGCCATGTCAGCACCACGGCAGCCTCCACAGCTCCCACAGCAGGGGCCTGGCACTGCGCCCCCTCCCCAAGCCAGGGGATGCTGCGCTGCGCAATAGGTTCTCCAGAAAAGTTAGAGCCTGAGAAAAGGTTTTGCAACGGCTGTTTCTGCGCCTGAGGCTTTCCACAGCACTGCAAGATGGGTTAATCCCAGGGTAGGGCAGGGATTTCATGCACACACTCTCACAGGACCTTTCCTTCTCAGCAGAGAGGCTGGAGGACTTGCACCACAGAACCACCCCCTTAAATCCCTGCCAGGGTGAAAAATCACCTGGCAAATCACCTCCCACTCCCAACAGGGCTGGGGCAGGGATAAGGCACCACCAGCTCCTCGCCCCCGCTACACGGCACGTTGCAACTCTGCCCTCAGGACCTGCTGCAGGTCACGTGGCTCCTCCTCGAACCACCCAGCCCCTGACCCACCTCCTCACAGAACTCCCAGCTCTGACTGGTGTAAATGTTCTTGGACGCTCCAAACCTGAACAAGAAGAGGACACACAAGTGGTTTTATTCCATCAGCTGAGGCAGAGCCAGAGGATTTTGCTGTTCATGGATGCAAATGGGATATGAAAGGGACAGAGACCCTCCAGTGGGGCTGGTGCTAATGAGGCTGGTGGGACCTCACCTCCCCACAAGCAGAGAGGGGTCTGCTGGCTCCATCTGTTCAAACCAGCCAAGCCTCTTTGCCTTTGAATGATAAGGCAGCAGGAGAAGCAAGAGAATTTTCTTGCTCTGAATGCAAATCTCCACTGGCCCCACGAGTTTTCCAAGGACAATGTCACGTGGTGGCATGTGCCGTGTGAATGCAAAATGAACACTTTCCAGGAGGGATGAGGGAATGGCTTTAAAGCTCCTGCAGAGAACTGGGGCACAGCTCTCTTGGCCTCAGGGCTACTCGGAGAGCCACTTCTGCCTCTTTTTCCCCTCCCTGTAACAAGAGGATACCAGGCTCTTCTATAAAGAGCAACTGAGAGGCACTGCATGGTCTCTCCCGTAGAAGGCAGAATTCCTGCTCTCGTGGGGAAACATCTCGAGGACACTGAGTATTTTTTCAACACAGATCCCAGCACTCCCCATCTCACTGCAGAGGTGCAATGTAACCAACAACAGAGGAGCCCACCTGTAAAAAATGGCAGCCAGGGCTTTAGCCACGGATATTGGATCTTTCTTCTGCAGAGGAGCAGCCTCCACCCACTTGGTGAAGTAGTCAGTCACAAGGAGGACGTGTGTGTTGCTCTGGCTCGTCTCGGGAAAAGGCCCTGCGCAAACAACCACCCCAAAAAAAAAAATCAATGCGATGCCGTAATATCACCCAAACGGGCAAGGTCAAAAACCCAGCCCAGCAAAACCACTGCTGCAAAACCCACCACGACTCCCTCCTGCAGTGTCATCTGGCCAGAACATTTGGGTGACCTTTGTCAGCAAAAATACACCCATGAGAGCTTCAGCTCTGGGAAGTAACACACGCCCACAGCTCCCATTGTGTGTGGGGAGGGAGCCGAGCCAAGCACAGGGATTAGGTTGCACCCTGTGCCTCCTTGGCACTTCCCCACAGGCAGCTCTCGCTCCCTGCGTGTGGCAGCAGGTCTGCCACACTCCTGGAGCCCCGGAGAGCCCGTCAGCCACACACACTCACCGTGAATGTCTAATCCAAGCACTTCCCAGGGAGATTCCACCCTGACGGGCCGCGCTTTCCGCGACACGTTCTTGTTGTGCTCGGCGTTCTGGCAGGTCTCGCACATTTTGATCTGGAAAGGGAAAAGGCTTGGGAATATGCTGATGGGTTCTGTCAGACTCAGACTGAAGGGGTGAGACAGACAGCAGGGCTGAGCAGCTTCCCTCTACCCAATGAAAACGGTGAGGCACAGGAAAAGGACGACAAAACACAACAGGCTGACACATCTCACCTCTCCCAAAACTCACCTGACAGCTTCCTCTGACACAATAACCAATTTTCTCAACGTGGCCTACAGCTAAGCTATTTCTCACCCTGTTTCCAGGCAGATATTTATTGCATTTTAACCTCCTACTGCTGGTTAGAAAAATCATCAGCCCAAGGATGCCGGAGGAGCTCAGACCATGTAATGCAACCATACTTCTCCAAACCACACTGCTGCAGAGCCCTGCTGCAGGTGACTGTCAGCCACAGAACAGGTGAGGCCAAGCAGCTGAGCAGAGCCAGTGGAAACAGTGAGATCCTCTCTTTACCATAGTTTAGGGAACTGAGCAGCTCTGGTAGCAATCCAAAGCTGGGCTCAGCAACTTCTCTGAAAAAAATCCCATGTTTTCATGCTAGCCAAAACTGCCCTGCACCAGGAGGCTTCCTGATGCTCAGGGTAAGACATCCAAACTATCCAGCTGCCTCGGGGCATTCCAAGATTCACCTGCAGAGTTACTCAGTTTGTGGTTTTGAAGCAGCAGGTACTGGAGATGACATCACCCCTGCGCTCCTGGAGCTGCTTACTTAGGACTGCTGCCAGCACAGGGTGTCACCGACACGGTCAGTGCTCTCAACTCACCCAGTCCACCACATCCTTCACGATCCCCAGCCAGTAGTAGCGGCTCTGGATCCGGTGCACGGTCTTTTTCTGCCCCAGGTGGTTCCCGATTTCGGTGAAGTGGCTCTCCAGGAAGACCTGCCGTCTCCGCTCGGGATCCACGATCACCTCCCGCTTCTCCTCCTTCTTGGGCCCCACGTAGTAGAGGCAGCCACCTGTGGGCACCAGAGGTTTGTGTCCAACACCCCCCTCTCGCAGCCACTCCAGCTGCTCAGCCCCAGGGAAAGGGAGAGAGACATAACCCCCTTTTTTTTTTTTTTTTTTTGCCTTAGGAGCTCCTGCAGTGCCCCTGGAGAAGCTACTGACCTGGTAACACCCCTAAACGAGCCCAGGGAAAGCTTTTCTGCAGCCAGGGCTGCGAAATCCTCTGCTACAATAAACCCACTGCGGTCCCCACGGGGCACTGGTGCCACCCGCGGTGACACAACCCCCCACTCTGCGCCCCCAGAATGATGCCAAGGCACAGCAGGGGGGTGGCAGCGATGGTGACAGCGCTGGTGCATCCCACGGCTGCCAAGGAGCCACATCCCCTCCCCAGCCGCGGGTCCGGCGCATCCCTCCCATGGCATCCCCCCAGCCCGATCCCTCGGGGGGATGCCCCGGCCGAGGTGCCCCCCACCACCAGGGTCCCCACCGTCCACGACGAACTTCTGGGCGTAGCGCTTGAGGTTCTTCCTCTTGATGGAGCAGAAGCTGGGTGGGAAGCAGCCCTCGGCCAGCAGCCGGTAGATGTCCTCGAACTTGCTGCCGTGGCCGCAGGGCTCGGCCGCCACGACCACCTCCTGCTCGGCCTCGGGCAGCGCCGCGTCCATGGCCGGGCCGGGACCGGGATCAGGACCGGGATCGGGGCCGCGCTGACCCCGCCGGGCGCGCCCCCGTGCGCGCCCCCGCCGGCCGGGGCGGGCGCTCCCAGGGACCGTCTGCAAACAGCCCTTGGCGGCCCCGAGAGGGCCCGGCCCGGCCCGGCGGGGGAGGGCCGTGCGGCGGCGGCGCCGCTGCGGGACCCGCCCGCGGTGACGTCACGGAAAGCGCAAATTAACAAACAAACAGGCACAAAACGGAAAAAAAAAAAAAAACAAAAACAAAAACAAAACAAACAAAAAAAAAAAAACAAACCGTGCGCGTTCCGCCTCTCCCCGTTTTCGGCCCCGGTTGGGAATTTGCCGACGCGCCCTCGCGCGGGGGGAGGAAGCGGAGCCGCTTGGAGGGACGGGCCCCGCGCGCGCAGCGCCGGCGGGAAACATGTCCGGGGCGCGGCCGTTCCTGGCGTGCGGCTGCTTCCTCACCGACAACATCTTCGTGCCCCGCTACCGCCTCCACGTGCGCTACCGGGACCGGCGGCAGCTCCGCCGCGAACACGGCCGGGTATGGCTGGGGGCATGGCCGGGCACCGCCGAGGGCGCGGCCGGGAGGGTCTCCCCGGTGTCGGGGCGGGCCCTGCCCGGTGCCGCGGGCCGGTCCGGGTGACCGCGGTGTCCCGTGTGTTGCAGGCGCTGCAGGAGCGCGGCTGCCGGAGCGAGGAGCAGTTCCAGGCTGTGCTGAGGGAGGTGAGCGCGGGGACCCCCCCTCTCCCGTCACGCCTGCCGGGAGGGGGATTGGGGGCAAGGAAGGGTTTGGGTTGGAAAGGACCTTAAAGGTCCTCGAGTGCCACCCCCCTGCCATGGGCAGGGATGCTTTGCGCTAGCCCAGATTGGTCCAAGCGCCGTCCAGCCTGGCCTTGGACACTTCCAGGAATGGGGCAGCCACAGCTTCTCTGGGCGGCCTGTGCCAGGGCCTCATCCACCTCACAGGGAGGAATTTCGTTCTAATATCCCATCTAATCCAACTCTCTGTGAGTGTGAAGCCATTCCCCTTTGTCCTCAAGTCCAGAGCCTTGTAAACAGTCTCTCTCCGTCTTTCTTGTAGCTCCTTCACATACAGAAAACTCACAATTAGGTCACCCCAGAGCTCTTCTCTGGGCTGAACAATCCCAATTCTCTCAGCCTTTCCTCCCAGCAGAGTTGCTCCATCCCTCTGATCACCTTGGTGCCTCCTCTGGATTCTCTCCAACAGCTCCACATCCTTCCAGTGCTGGGACCCCAGGGGCATTTCCACACCCCCGGGGGTCCCGGGGCCGGGGTCAACCCCAGAGGGAATTCGGGACCTGCTGAAGTTACAAGCTGTGACAGAATCAGGGCACAGCTCCCCAGCACCTCGTCCCACTTGACCCCGGTGCTGGGACAGAGGCCAGAGGGAAGAATTCCCCCCCAGGCACTGCTGGGGAGGTGTTTACACAGCCAACACCCTGGAATTAAATGCTGTCACCCAACACTTTGTCCCAGTGGCCTCTGTGCTGCTCCCTCCTTGAATTTAGTCAGCTGGCTCCCAGCCCCCTTCTGGTTTGTCTTTCCTTGTCCCTTCTGCCAATTATTTTTAAAGGGTGCCCAGAGATGGGATCACCCAGGGGTCCTACAGGTTCACACTCCCCCCAGGACACCCTTTATTAAGGAATCTGTGCCCCTTCCCAGGCCAGGGACAGAGATCTGTCACACAACCAGCTCTAATTTCACCTGGAAGACAGACAGGTTCCTTCAGGGATTCTTGGCAGGGTGATGATAGCAATAAATCATACTTATAATTAAAGCTTTATGAACAGGATATTATGATTCATATAGCACAGAATTCAGGAATAGGACAGCACAGGATTTCTACAGGTAGAGTCAATGCAGCACAACAAGCAGAATTTATAATGCAACTTCTCTCAGGATTCCTAGATCCTAACTTTAGTTGTAATTTATAATCACCTAGATCCTAATAACTCCCTAATCACCTGGACTCTCTGCAGAGCTGCTGAGATCTTAACACAAAGGTTTGCTGTATCAATGTAAACATAATGTAGACTCAAAAATAACAAAAAAGAATAGGATTTACTCACTCAGCCCTCAGAGGAAGATGTCCCCTGCCATCAGAGGTGTCCCTGGCTGTAGGAGGTCACGGCTCTCACTGTCCAGCAGCTGTTCCAGTCCAAGTTTCCCACTTAGGACTTGTAAGTGCCTGATTTTATAGGCAGTGCTGGGGGCTGTTACAGTTCCCTGTTCCCTGTCAAGGTCACCAACAACACCTGGTGAGCAGGGGACTGGGCCCTTCAAGGCCAGCAAGGAAGGGAGTGATCAGCCTTGAGACTGGGAGGGAGGAGGAGGAGAAGGAATCTGTTTTGTCTGCTTGCTTCACAAGACCTTCAGGGCCTGATAATGAGGGAAAGGGAATGAATAGATGACCAGAGAATGGCTGCTCACCTCATAAAATGCCTTAGTGATGCTGACCAGGGGTCAGGAGGGGAACTGGTCACACCCTCCTTCCTTCTTCAGTGAGGAATGTTATAAATTAATCTCATGAGGGGGAATTAAAGAGGAAGAGCTGCCTGAATCAGCTGCTAAAACAGCTGTTTGCTCTGAAGGGACAGATTAGCCTGTCTCCTCCACACTTAGCAGTAATCCCTTCATGACAAGACTTGTCTCCCTCCCAGGAAGCATCTTTATTTTGGACAATGCTTATATTGTCAGAACACAAGCCAAGGCTCTTGAAGCCTCCGCTGGTGATTCAGGAGGTGTCAGGATGCCTGAAAGGGCTGAAACCTCACAGCTCCACTTGGCACTTCCATAGAAAGACTTCAGTTAATTTTTTTAAGCCATCTGTAAAGAGAAAGCGTCTCCAAACCGTCTCAGGCATTTTGCTTTTCAGATATTTATTCGACTTGCCTTGACTACACAAAAAACAAAGCACAGACTCCACTTCCCAGAGGTGCCTGAAACAAAAATAAATGGTTTAAAACAATGAGCAAATTCCTGGAATTGTGTTAGTTGTCCCTTTTGATTTTCTCACAATATGCCCTGTTGTTTATTTGCAGATTGAGGCAGAAGTGCAGAGGAGAAAACAGTTAGTCCATCAGTCAGTGGAACGCAGAGCCATCATCTCCAAGTGCTACAAACCAAAACACCCAGAGGTGTACACTCTGCAGGTACACAGTGTGTTTGGAGTCTCTTTTGCCTCCAAGGAAATTACCTGAGAGTTTATTTTTGCAGTCCTATTTTTCCCTGTTCTCCTCGGGATCATGCAGTGCTAAAGCTGGATGGAATTTAAACCCGTGTGTAGCATATTAAAACTCTGAATTTAAAACTTTGACAGCACAGCATGTTCTCCAGGCAAGATTCCACAGCCAGGAAAGGGTCATTCCATATGGAAGCTGCTCCAGCACCTGGTACTGGACTTGAAACACCATTAGTAATTTAAACATAAAGCATCATTGCAGCAAACAGGCTCGGTCGGGTCTAACGAGGAGCCACAGAAAACAGCCTTTATGGGGCTACTCTGCTTTGAATTTCCTCGTGCTTGCCAGACCCAAGACTTCCCAGCTGGGTAATTCCCACAGATCAGCAGTAACACACAACCAAGTTCCCACAGATTTGCTGTGATCCTCCAGCAATAAGTTCTGCTGTTGTTTGCTATCATCAGTGTGGGGAAGTGCTCAAAGCAGAGCCCAGTCACTCCATTGTGCTCATTCCGGGAAAAGAGGCTAAAATCCACTAGGAGAGATTTTGTACCTACCTGTTAAGAATCCACATTGTGAGCCAGGCTCTTTCCTGTCATGCCTATAATAAATCTGGCCAGTTTTATGCAGAAACCCTCAAACTCACCTAAACCCCCAAGTGAAGCACAGGAACGTTCTGCAGTTCCTGCCGTAGAAGTAACCCCAGTGTGACTATCAGCCCTGTCCCTTCAGACTGCACATTTCCCTGTGGCTCCCTGGAAATCCGTTTCTCTCTGGGGCTGTAAAAGGCTGTACTGGCTAATTGTGTCTCTGTGTGTTTTTTTCCACCTTTCCCTCGACACCAGGATTCCTTCCTGGCCCCCGATTTCCTGGAGATCGTGCGGTACTGCACATCGCCCGGAGCTCATCTCCAGGGCCTCCTGGGCTATCTCGAGTCCTTCTCAGGTAAAGGAAACAACACCTGAGTCACACAGATCTTCCTGTGTGACCCTGCAGGTCCCCTGGTGACAGCTGTTCCCAAGCCCTGTCTTTGGTAGCTCGGATTTGACTCAGACCGAGACAAACAGGATGTTATTCTCTGCCTGACTGGGGTCTCTGGAGGGGCAGTGCTGTGCAGCAGTTCTGCTCTGGAGCAGACACTCTTTTCTGCCTTCCCATCCCAGTCTGCTGATGTCTCACCAGAGGCTCCAGCAGCAGCAGGACTGGGGTTTTGGTTGTGCCACCATCTCACAGGGAGCCTGAAAGAACACTGTTAGCCTAGGGAGCTTGTTTTTCCCTCCCCAAGTGCTTTGCCATTTCAGACAATCCCTGTGGGTTAGTCTGGGCTGAAATAATTTCAGTCTTTTAGAAAGAATTCTGAGTTTTAAGCTTCCCTGGAGGCAGCTGTGAAGCTCTCTACATAGCAGAAATGCTGACAAAATGTAGAGGGGAAGAGGCAAAGTTTCCTCCTTTTCTCAAGACAAAAAGAGAGACCCAAATGAGCCTGTGCAGAGCTCCTGGATTTGTCCAAGGCACGATTTCCAGCCTTCTCTTGCTCTCTTAATCTCACCTTCTGTATCCTCAGTCCTGAGCTCCCTTCACACAGACCTTAAGGGCTCTACCCCACAAGGTTGGCACCAGATGAGTGAGTCCCACAGCCCCTAAATGACCTTGAGTGTCCTTCCAGCCTGCCTGTGATGAGTCGCTGATTCACCACCCTCCCTCCAGACTCAAAACGCTTCCTTGGCACAACATCTGGCATTTAAACCAGTGCCAGATCTCCTGACTGGATGGGTGAGCCTGAAAATGAGGGACCAACATGAAAAATAACAAAGACATCCTGGGTTCCAGCCCTCAGGTTCCAGCCTGAGCTCAAAGGGAAGCACGTGGGTCTTGTGCTCTCACTGCCACCAGCACGGTGGAGCTGGACAGGCAGGCAGGAACACTCACCTGAGACCTTCCCCAGCAAATGGTGTCTCCCTTCTCCTGACAGATAAGAGGATCTATCGACTCCCAGTGTTCACAGAGGAGTTCTGCCAGACCTTTGTGGATGAGCTGGAGAACTTTGAGCAGTCGGACATGCCCAAGGGCAGGCCCAACACCATGAACAACTACGGGGTAGGATTTGTCTCCTGTGCTTCTTCAGGGGGAGTGTTCACTCTGTTCACCTCCAAAGTGTCTGTCATTTTACCCAGAGCAGTTGGAGTTCCAGTACCCCCTTGGAGGGAAAGGGTTGAGGGAATGTTACACACACAAAAGGACATGGGAACGCAGGGAAAGGGGATGGGAGTTTTAGGCAGAGCAAAGAGCACCTGGGATTTTTAAGCAATACCCATTTAAATCAAGGAGTCAGTTTTTAAAGAACACTCACCTTTTGATCTTGCTCTGTCTTTCCCCTATCCCTTTCCACCTTGATCCTCCTCCTTCCTCCTGTAGCTGGAGCCTTTGCTCTAAAGTTCTTGCTCTGAGCCAGCAGCAGGGCTGGAGGAGGAGGGGGACAGCTCTGATGATGCTGCTCAGCTGTTCCCACCTCCTCTCTTGGACACAGGTTTTGCTGAATGAGCTCGGGATGGATGAAGGGTTCCTGACCCCCCTGAGGGAGCAGTTCCTGCGGCCCATCACGGCCCTGCTGTACCCTGAGCTGGGGGGATCCTGCCTGGACAGCCACAAAGCCTTTGTGGTCAAATACTCCCTGCATGAGGACCTGGATCTGAGCTCCCACTATGACAATGCAGAGGTCACCTTGAATGTCTCACTGGGGAAAGACTTCACAGAAGGCAACTTGTACTTTGGGGATTTCTACCAGGTACTGAGCACATTCCTACTCTGGACCCTCATTCCATTCCCCTCTACCTCCTCACAGCCCCCCCTCAGTTTCAAGGCATAAACTGTGTTCTAAAAAACAATTATTCACTTCTAACAGTCACACCTGCTCTGTCCCTTCCCTCTTCTTTACATTTTTTTGGTTACACAGAAGCGTTTTCTGTTCCAATATTCAGGTTTCAAAGAGAGCACAGAGGCAGCTTGTGGTAGAAGGTTGGAGTAAACAAACCAGCCCATCTTTTCACAGCTGAAACAGTGAGCAGGGAGGTCCTGAGGGAGAAATTTATTTCCAATGAGACTTAAAGCTAAATCTGTAGCACCTGTTTCTAGGGCAAGAGAGGGTGAAAGCTCCCATACACAGATGAAACAGGTTGTTTGGCTGAAACTGGGAATGTCTTCCTGGAAAACAGTTGTACCCATCTGCTGCCAAGCCACCACTGAAGGGGCTGCATTTCAGAGGTGCAGTTTGTCCTTTCCCTGTTGCTCCCTGGGGGAAGAGCTGATAAGCGTCAACTATTGGAGTGCTGTTGTGCCAGGGACTTAAAGGTGTAATTATGAATCCACCTCTGTTCCAGGATCCCAGTCCTGTGCCCAAGTACCTGGAGGTGGAACACGTGGGAGCCCAGGGGCTGCTCCACCGGGGAGGGCAGATCCATGGGGCGCTTCCCATCGGCTCCGGGGAGCGCTGGAACCTCATCCTGTGGATGAGATCATCCCTCATCCGAAACCAGCTCTGCCCCATGTGCAAGAGCAAACCCCAGCTGGTGGAAGCAGAGGGATTTGGGGATGGATTCACAGGAACCCTGGAAGAGGACGTGCCCGAGACTGTGGATGTCTGTGCCCTGTGGTAGGGGATGGGAAAACACGATTTCTCCAGACCACGTGGCCCAAAGCTCCTCTCTGACCTCTCAGACTGCACTAACAGACTCCGATGGATGCAGGAGCCCTGTAAGAAGAAGCTCTTACCTTGGAAAGGGATACAAAGCCAGCCCTGCCAGGGTTAGGGGAGCTTGGAGAGCTGGAACTCAGCTCGCCAGAGCTCACACTGGAGACTGTTTGTAAGACAGAGGAAGCCCCAACACTTTGATGCACTACAGAGACTCTCTAAATATTTTCAGGTGTACAGAGGAAACACACGAAGCTCCTTGGCCTCTCTGCCAACAGCAGCATCCCAGGTCCCGCTGGAAATGGGAAGGAATGGTGAATAAAGCCCTGCACTTACCACTCTCTGCTGTTCTCAGTGGCCTCCTGTCCGTTTCCAGGGGAAGGGGAAGAGCTTTTTTTGCTGAGGGACAGGGAAGGGTCTGCTCAGAAATGACATCCAGGTGATCCACAGTAGGCTGCTGGGAATGGCAGGGAATTACTATCACTGGAGGTTTGCCTAACCCAGGCTCAGAAAAACCTATCTTCCAGCTGGCTGAAAAGTATGGGACTCCCGCTTACGAAACAAATTAAAGAAGCCAAGCATGTTTTGATTTGGTGGCTGCATTTGCCTCTGTAGCAAATTAATTGTATATATATTTGACACAGCACAGAGACTGCTGCATTTGTAAGGGGCTGTTTCACTCACCTGTTTCCCTGCAGTAACTGGAGCATCGAGAACTGGGAAAGGCTGGACGTCAGCGGCTACGAGGTGTTGTTTTAAGGCTTCGCAAGGGACCCGCTGGATTTTTGGCTGCTTGCGGCAGCTCGGGCGCTCCCCCAAAAATTGAGCCGCAGCTGCCCCCGGAACCAAAGAGCGCGGCGCGGCTGCCGCCCGGCCCCGCTCGCGGCGGACGGGAGAGGGGGGCGGCCGGCGCGGCCTCGGCGGCGGGAGCGGGACCGGCCGGGCCGGTGAGTCCCTCCCGCTCTCCCTCCTTTCCTCCCTCCTTCACTCCCTGCCGCTCCTCGCACCTGCGCGGGGCTGGAGACACCGGGCTGGGTGGGGTGGGCACAGCCCCGCGCGATGCGGCGGCACCCGGGGCCGGGGGGGCCGATAAAGAGCCGCGCTCTTAAAGGGGCCGCGCCGAGAGCGTTTAAATCCTTAAAGGGCCAGAGTGCCTCTTACCGGGCTCGTAAAGAGCCAGCGCACCTTGCGCGGGTGCTTAAAGGGTCACTGCGGCTTGTGCTGAGCTCTTAAAGGGCCAGCGCACCTTGTGGGGAGCTCTTAAAGGGCCAGCGCGCCTCATGCTGAGCTCTTAAAGGGCCAGCATTTCCTTGGCTCCCCGTGCTGGGGCGGGAGGGCAGGGGCAGAGCAGCAGCCGGGCCGGGCAGGAGGTGCCGCCCCAAAGTGCCCCCAGTCAGATGAGAGCCCAGCTTTGGGGCACAGCCAGGCTGGGGTGCTGTGGGGTGGATTTGGGATTCGTCCCCTTCCCGCAGCATCGCCCCGCACACCCCAGGATGCTCCTGTCCATGGATCCAGGTGCTGGGGTTGGATAACGTGGGTCCTGCTGCCTCGAGTCCCAAACCCCATCCTGCACAAGGCCTTGGTTGAGGGAATGGCTGCTGAGTCTGTGTCTATGACGGACTCTCACTCTCTGGACCTTCCCTGCCTGCCCTTAATTGTTTTGGTTTGATTTTTTTGTTTTTTTCCCTGACTGAAATTTCCCTTTGGAAATCAATCAAAATCCTGATTCCCTTGGGAGTGAGTTGCTGCCTGGGAATGTCAGGACGGTAAACAAACAATTAATTAGATGTGGTAGTTGGAAGGTGGCTGTGAGGAAGCATTTCCCAGCTCCTGCTCTGCCCACAGTGCCAGTTGGTTTTTTAAATTAATGGGAGCAGGGATCACTCTGGATCTGGCCTGTGGCTGCCAGGAACCCTCGGGCTGACGGACGGGGGTGCCAGCTCGGTGCATAATCTGTTTTCTAAAAGCAAATTGGAATATTAAAAATTCATTCTTCCCCTTGGCTTGTGCCTGCTCTCAGCATTTTAAATAACGGAGTGATTGACTCCGTGTTCAGCCTGGGAGGATGTTTAGTCCTGCTGGCTGTAGCTGCAGCTTCCATCACCCCTTCCCAGAGCCTGGCTGTGGTGCAGCATCTTCCCAACAGCTCCCTGGGCTGTGGGGTGACTGTGGGGCACAGCAGGGCCTGCAGACACCAACCTCGGGCCCCTCAGTGCCTGCCCACGGCAGGGATCAGCCTGATTCTCTAGGGATAAACAGGAATAGTGGGGGGAAAAGTGGAAAACCTGCTTGGGGACAGTTGTCTGAGGTGGAAAGGGCTGCCTGGGGACAGCCTGTTGTCCCTGTGCTGGCTCTACCCTGTGCTGGCTCTACCCCGACGGCTCCATGCTGTGGATTGGTGGAATTCCACTTGGCTGTGGCTGCATGAGGGGAGACCCCGACCCATCTCTCCGTGTGGATATCCAGGGGAGGGAGATTGGCAGGAGCAGGGCTGGTTGGCTCAGAGGTGGATTTGATGTTTTTGGGCCCCAGTGGCTCTGGTGTCCCTGTCCCCTCCAGGCTGACCATGGCCCACAGCCGGTCTCGGAAGCGGTCGCGGAGCAGGAGCAAAAGCGGCTCTCGGAGCAGGCAGGAGAGGAAGGAGAAGAAAAGGAGGAAAAGCAGCAAGGACTCGCAGCAGGGCAGCAGCTCTCCTCCAAGGAAGAGGAACTCTGGGTCTCCCGGACACAAGTCGAGCTCGGCAGCAGCCAGGGAAGGTGGGGAAGGCCCGTGACTCCGCGTTTTTCCTGGGGTGGATGCACAGAGGGGTCCAGATGGGAGAAGAGGGTCCCTGCTTTTAGCTCAACTGATGTCTGCTTATGTATTGCAGAGAAGAAGAAGAAGGAAGGAAAGGGCAAAAAGAAGAGGAAGGCCAGCACCTCCTCCTCTGAGACAGCATCTTCATCCACCAGCTCTTCCTCATCCTCTTCCTCCAGCCCCTCTTCTGACAATTCCAGTGACAGTGACTCCAAAGCAAAGAAGAGTCAGCACGGCAAGAAAAAGAGAGTGAAACAGAAAGACAAGAAGAAAAAAAAGAAGAAGAAGAAATTAAAAAAGAAATTAAAAAAGAAGGCAAAGGAAAAGGCTAAGGAGGAGAAAGCCAAGGGAGAAGAGGTGCCTGGCCCCTCGCTGGAGCAGTGGCAGAAGGAATCAGTGGAGGACCCTGGGCCAGGTAATGATGGTGTTTTCCTCCTGGAAGGCTGTGCACACAGGAGTTGTGCTGATCCCTTCCTGGGACCCCATGAGGTGTCTGAGGGAAGCAGGGCTGTGTGCAGGGAGGAGCCCCAGGCTCTCCTCCCTCCTACATACTGTGGCCACCTTTGAGCCACGCCACGTAAATGTAGGAGCCACATCAGATGTTCTTTTGTGAAGTGTTTAGATGTAGTTCATAGGTGTGGTGAGGAACAAAGATAGAAGGACAGATTGAGCAGTAACATCCTGGCAGAGCTGGTCCTGCCTTTAGGATGGGAAGTGGCTCTTCTTCTGTGTGGTTCACCGCTGAACCCCAAGTACCACCAGGAATCTGGTGTGGGATGTGTCTGTTGGCTGCAGCCGCAGGCCTGTGCCTGGACTTGGCCCTGGGAGCTGGCTCTGACTGACCAGTGCATTCCAGTTTTGACAGATGAACAGAAATCCCGGATCCAGGCTATGAAGCCAATGACAAAGGAAGAATGGGATGCAAGGCAGAGCATCATAAGGAGAGTTGTGGATCCCGAAACGGGGAGAACCAGGTACGATCCCCGGGGAGAAAGGAGGGGGTTTGTCCTTCCCTATCCACGCTGTGTGGGTTGGAGTCCTGGAGGATACCTGTCCATGGCACTGCAGTACCATGTGTGGGCCCAGGTCCCCTTGAGCAGCAAACGCTTGAGCTGACCCCTCACAGGTCAGATCTGTGAGAGCTGGTGTAACTTACCCAGAAAGTGACACCAAATTATCAAATTCTGCTGGGGCTCCACATAAGGGACACTGGGCTGTGTCCCAGCATCCCACGGCTGCATCCACTCACCGTTCAGCTCCAGGTGCAAGTGAGGAGGGAGTGTGTGCCCTGTGGGGTTACAGGCAACAATCAAACCCAAGTTCATTTAGCTGCCAAATAGAAATGACCCAGTTTTTAATAAACTGCGTCCTCTCAGCCAGCAAAAAACATCACGCTGAAGAGAATTGGGTATGACAAGTCCAGTCTTAAAATAGAAGGCAGCCTGCAGGGCTCAGGGAGGTGTGGAACAAAGGTCGGTTCCCTGTAAGGCATGTAATGAAGACAATTAAATTTCTGTTCGTGTTGGGAGGTGTGAGCTGCCTCCAACACTGCTTGGAATTTGCTCAGCAAGATGCTCCCCCATCTAGCTGATTTCAGGCCCAAACTGGCTCCTGTTTCTGAATGGCTCTGCAGTTTCCTGGGGCAGGCAGGACCACAACTGAACCATCTGAAAAAAAGGAAGAGGCTTTGCAGGGGTCCGGGCACTGCTGTTGACAGGGAAGCCTGCAGATTTTGGGGTGGCAGGAGATGCTTTTATTATGTGTTTTCTCATGCCAGTGTGACTGCACACAGCAGGCAGTGCCCACAGCCTGGGGCAGGGCTGGCAGGCCCATGCTGATTTCTTAGGGGACTGCACCTGTCCTCACTGCAGCGTGCTGACATTCATCCCATGGGAGCAATGGAAAAGCCTGCTGTGCTATTTAAGCTTGATACAGCCCCAAAAAAGTCACATAATGCAATGTCAGGGGTAGGTCATCACTGGCCTTGCCTAGAGGTCCTGGGCTCTGAGGGAGCTGGGGGCTCAGGGTAGGGTGGGGATCAGCACCTTCTGCAGCTGCAGGAACTTGCCAGGAGCTCTCAAGGCTTGTGCTTGTCTTCCAGGCTCATTAAGGGAGACGGGGAAGTCCTGGAAGAAATTGTCAGCAAGGAGAGACACAAGGAGATTAACAAGGTAGTGGGAACTGGCCACCAGCATGAGCTGCTGGGCACAGCCAAGGAGCTGCTGCACCCAGAGGTGGTGTGTGTGTGTGTTCACCACGGGTGGTGCTGGTGGTCCTGCATCCTCAGACAATCTGTGATCACCTGTGTCCCTTTGCAGCAAGCCACGAGGGGGGACGGCCTGGCCTTCCAGGTGAGGACAGGGATGCTGCAGTGAGTGTGCAGACATCAGCCAGGCCAGGAGCCCATCCTGTTGCCAGTGCCAGCCCAAGGGGGAGCCTCTGTCCCTGGACCACGCAGACAGCACCGTGTCAACATTCCCCAGGAGCACTTTGCAGCCACTCTGTAAGTTACTGACTGGGAAGGAGAGCGACTTCAGTGGTTCATCTCCCACCAAACAGCTTCTCCCCTCCCTCTCCCAGCTGAGGCCGTTGTGGCGGTAATGCACCTTTGGATGCTGGAGGAGCTCAGCAGCACCCAGGGGACAGGCTCGAGGGTGTTAAGGACCTGAAAGTGCTGCTGCCCCTCAGCTCTGGGCTTTGGTTGGCAGGAACCAACACTGTGGCCGCAAAATCCACAGCTGGCTGCCACTTCTTCCCTTCAAGGGCTGCTCGTGGCCCCTCCCTTGCTGGATGTGGCTCATCAGGCCCTTCACACTCACAAACCCTTCTGCTCAGAGAGGAGCAGCCGTGGCTCTGCTCAGGCTGCAGCTCTCCCTGCACCCTTTGGTGCCACCCTCCACCGTGCCCCGGGTCTTTCCTCAGATTTATCTCCCGGGGTGGCACTGGGGAGCACTGAGCTGGCACGCTGCACTGGGATGTGTGCAGGTGTGTTTTGTGGAGGGGTAGCTTTACCTTTTGCTGTCTGCTCCTGCATGCAACTCCTGTCCCTGCCCCACAGCACAGGCCCTGGGCAGCCTTGGGGGTCCGGACCTCTCAGCCCATGGCTGCTCTGAAGCAAACAGAGAAGCCTTTCCCCCACAGCAAAATCCATAAATCTACAAACTGTAAAAAAGAAACGGAGAAATGAGTTAAAGGACTAACAGGACTGATGTGCACGGAGGGTTTCCACATTCTCTTCATGCTGTAACCCCATTAAACTGGCGCCTGCTCACGTCTCGGGTTTTGTGACTTATCTGTCTTTAGTCTCCCCCCCGCCCCCACAAAAAAGCAGACAGAGAAGAGCCTTCCCATTTCTTTAATCTGTGTAACTCACAATGATACTGTACACAAAGCACACCAGGCATTGGAACGATGCACTAACAGCAAGGAGGAGAAGGAAGTTGTACAGAAGGTTTGCCACACACAAGCGGGTCGTCGGCACGGTGACTGTACACACAGGGTCGGGCATCCCCTCCGGTGGCTCCCCACGCAGGGCTGGTACCCCTAAAGCCATTTTTTATAAATAAAATATAACTAACATCGTCGGAATATAAAATTGACAGTCGAGGGTATCAACAGGCAGAGGGGAGGGGACCGTAAGGCTTCTAGAACTAATAGGAAATGCAGCAAACAGTGGCGATACCTGAAGAAGGGGCTGCTACAGCAAGCACGGTGGCTGCTGGGCGGGTGGGAGGGTGTTGGTGACCCTTTGGCTCGTTACTGCTCACGATCCGACACTGTAAACGGTTTTTGGTGTGAGAATTTTGCCTCATCTGACTTGAGTGATCTGAGCAAACCCAGGAAAAACAGCTCAGAGGGAACGCACGGGCTCCTCTGACGGGCGTGAAAAGACTTTAAAGGGACAGCGTCAGGTAGAAAGTCTGGCCCGAGAGCGCAGGAATAGAAAAAGCTGCTTTTTTATAAAAAATCTGAGCTCTGCAGCAGAGTTTGATTCCCATGGAAACAAAAAACCAACCCCAAAGCCCGAGGCAGCCTGTGTGGTGCAGGCTGTGTTGTGCTGTGTGCAGAACAGGACGTGGGCTGTGCCGGGGGCTGCCCGGACCACGGCCGAGGGAGGAGCACGAGGAACTTCATATTCTTCCATTTCAAAGCAAACAAGTTATTGGTAACAAAGATAAATTAGGTCTTTAACCTGACAGTGCCCCTTTAGTAAGGATGGAATATACATTCATCTTTTCCCCTCACCGCATCCCAACGGATCCTCTTCCATACATGTGGAAAGGCATCGGGTCACATGCATTGCTCTCCAAAACAGCTCGGAACAAACAGGTTATAAACACAGAGTTAAACTATTGCTATTGTTCTGTGAGTGAGTAGCACGTTGATCTTTGCTTCAGAGGGATGAGTGCCAGATGGGGGCGGCTGAGGACAGAGCGATGGAGACAGGGACGGACTGAAAAGGTGAAGAAAAACTTATTGGCATTTTTCCTGGTAACTACACCCACCTCCTCTGGTATTATTGCAGCAATAAAGGTCCTGCTCTACGATTGCTTCTCCGTGTTGGATCCGTACAATGGCAGCGGATGGGGGGGCCAGGGAAAGGACCCGGGCAAGGTTCAAGAAGCTCAACAAAGGATGAGGACGGAGGTGTTATATGATTGTCAGGCTAACTGGGTAGTAGCTGCTTAAAACATGAAGTGACGGAGAGGTGAGTATCATATTGCACTTCTGCATTCATTGACAGTTACATTAAACTTGGTCCATAAAATAATTGCTTTGTACATAATGCCTGAAACAAAAAGCTACATTTTTAAATATTAATAAACCCTGAAGGTTCCAGTCCCTCCAGACATTTTTTTTCCCCCCTCTACATAAATAAATAACTTTCAGTTTTATATATCCACTTTTTATGTTGAACATTTACATTCGCCTGTTTTACACTATCTACACATAAGAAAATGTGAACATCTCATCAACACTGGAAAATGTACAGATCATGCCTTGGTTGTGGACTTGGAGGAAAAGGTGATTTTTGCAAAGGCCATATCCAAATTTGCAGAAATGATTTAGTGATGTGGTTTGGTGACTTCACAGGATGGATTGTGGCTTGGCTTCCTACTCGGATGGCATCTGTTTGATAGAACATTCGACTAGCAAAAAGCTGGGACACTTCACATTGTTTTCGAGCCCAGTAAGCTCTGGATGTACATTCGGAGAGAGCCAAGCTGAGCCGGCAGAAAAGGGAAGTCAGTTTTCGGTAACAAAAGTCATCAGGTACATTCTGTAACTGGATAATTATCAAAGAGAAGTGGTTACACATTTTGCAGTCGGGCTGCAAGACGTGGGGGACGCACTGGGCGGGCGGCAGTCGGGTTGGATCAGCACTGTCCCTCCTCTGCCTCCCTCGGACCCTCCAGCGCCACGAACACACGAGATCAACCTTGGGTGTCGGATGAGTTGGGATTTGCCTACTGTGGCCCAGAGCCAGTGAGCAGAGCAGTGTTCACAGTGCTGTGTATCTCAGTGCGGCCGTCCTGCACTTCTTATTGAAACAGGTAATAAAATGAAGCAGCCAGTCTAAAAAATTCTCTGTTATAAATAAGATCTTCATAAGTAGAAAGTGATATAAAGACAGGGAAGTGTGGTGGGGAAAAGCAGGGGGTTACACGTAGTCAGGTAGGACTATAAAATCTCCACGTGAAGAGGCCAACTGGAGTCTGTGAATGGGCACCCCAGGACCCCCTGGTGTGGGTGCCCCTCTGCCCTGGGAGCTGTGTGCGAGGAGGGAACCTTCGCTGGCCCCAGGGGGGACAGGACTAAGGGGCTTTTTGGCAAGCCCTGGCTCTAGGCACTGTTCTCTGTCCCTGTCTCGGTGTCACCGGGTGCCAGCTGCCCTCGGCCACGCACCCCACCCGCCCGCTCCAGCAGCACAAAACCATCGCCTCAGGCACATCCACTGAGAAACACACCGGGAAAATTAAGATATGGCCTTTTCTTAAGGTTGCCTGACATTGCTGGCACACTTCCTTACAGTCTCCTTACTGCTGGAAAAACTTCTGCACAGGTTGTTTCTTTTAAATATATACATATATATATGTGTGTGTGTGTGCATATAGATATACACGCACACCCTGGCTTAGCAATATTTCATTGTCATGCACTACAAACACCGGTGTAGCTACATGAGATGGTAACAGGTTTCCATTCTAAAAATCATCAGTGCAAAAAACAATGAGGTTTTACAGTTCAGTAACTATAGGTAAAAGAAGCGAGTCTAGTTCCCATGAAAGCTGCTACTGAACTTGGAGAGAACCTGGGAAGAAGAAAACGTCTCAGAGGTGGGTGTTGAGAGAGTCAGACCCTGCATTTGGATGAGAAGAACTGCAATGCAATCTAGCTGAGTGCCTTCAGCTGCTTCCAAATATATGGTGGTTACTGTTGGAAACAATATATAGCGAGACTACTTGGAGACTTTTAACAGCAAATTAAGTGTCTGAGGTTTGTAACAGCTCAAACAAAGTAGCTTGTATTCCTCTTTTAATAGGTCACCACATTAAATTCCATCAGCTTCTCAAAGGTCTCTTTAAAAAATAACAGTAATAACAGTAACGACCCCGCTGTCTTGGGCATGAATCTGCCGACATTCTGCCTCTGCCAACAGCATCGACAGAGCTTTAGCTTTGCACTGCACCAACTCCTTGAGAAAGCGACTGCAGTGGGAGCTCTTTGTACCGATAAAGCTCCCGGTCGCTCTGCCTGGCACAGCCCACCATCAATCCTGTGTTATCGATCCCCCAGCCTGCCCCGTGCCGGCAGAGCCCCTCAGTCTGACTTCTGGCACAGCCAAGGACAAGGTTGCCCAGCCCCACGCCCTGCTGTGTGGCTCTGAGGACAGCACTCGGTCGCGCGGATCGGAGCGATGGCTAACAAGGCGAGGAGGCACGTATTTACAGTCACTAAACCTGGATAAGAGAAGGAGGCAGGAGAGAGCGCCATCTTGACCTGGAGACATCCCCCCCCCGATTTCCAGCTGTTCCTTGGGTTCCCGCTGCACAAACCGGACGCTCTCGCTGCAAGGCCTGCACTTTCTGCGTGGGAAACATCCCGTCTCTTCCCAGAACACCACGATGTTATTGGAGTAGCACCATATTTACCCTTCCAGCCCGAAACGGCGACCTCGTCCCTCTTTCCTTTTGTTTTCTCCTCCGGTGGCTGCAGCTGTCAATCCTGGCTCTGGCCTGGCTACTTCTGCCCCAAGAGGCCAGACTCCAGCCGGGACGCGGCGCTCCGGCCCCAGCACCCTGTGGCGATGCTCATGCTCCGCTGGCTGCGCTCCCTGTCCCTCTCCTTGTCGCTGTCAGACTGGCTCTGGGTGCGCTCAGGGCGGTGGCCGCCGGCCGAAGGCTGGGAGGAGATGGTGCGGAGCAGGTGGTTCCTCTTGCGCAGGAACTCGGCCTGGCTGGGCAGGCCGAAGCTGCCCTTGCGCAGGGCCATGCGCGTGGTGTTCTTGGCGGGGCGCGCACGGTGGTTGTACTCCAGCTGCGCCAGGTGGGCTGCGTAACCCTCCGTGATGAACTGCGGGGCGAGAGGGGCGAAGGCAGGGGTTAGAGGGATGGGACACGCTGCCCTGAGAGCCGCTGGCCACCAAACACTGTTTGCTGCGCCAGGTTCTCTCAGTCCGAGGTGGTCCTGCTACGCGGGACAGCTCCCGTTCTCTTGGCCAATGCAGCTCAGCCACCAGTCTTGGGATGACCAAATTCCCATCTCCCTCCCAGGGGAGGCCCCTGGGGCTCAGACAAGCCCCCTCCTACCTGACACTGGCTCTGCAGCTTCTTGGTGGGCCGGCCAACGATGTAGGTGTGCGTGGGCGGGAGGCCGATGGAGCTGTACACGGAGATGTCCTTCGTGGATCCGTACGCCGCGTGGATCCTCATGTGGAGCTGTGGGGAGGGAAAGCAACACGCAGTCAGAACACACAGGCACCCCGTGCTGCTCAGCAGGCAGGGCTCTGGGCTTCCAAGAGCATCTGTGGGAATCTCAGGTCACTGGAACTTATGTAAGTTCCCAGCTGGATAATGAACCGCTGAGCAAAGCACCAATTAATGAGCTGGGGATGTTTACAGGCCAGAACAAAAGGAGTAATAGTAATACAAGAGCAGATCTTCACTTGCTGATCCACAGGCTTGCCTTGAGGTCCGTGGGGGACAAGGATGCCACACACTTTGCTGCCTGTTGTCACTGGGGGAAAGGAGCTGCAACCCTCCTGTGCAGGAATCATTAGGGGAGGAATGTTCCCCCAGAGAGCCACTGCTGTGATCTGCTGGGCAGGGATATCTCTGCCTCCACTCTGAGCAGAGAGCAGCTCCTGGCCAACCCTTTCCTTGCTGGGCTTGGAACAGGGGGGGTTGGCAGGGGAGTTGTGGACACTGGTGCCACCACAGACTGGCCAGCTTTGTGCCTGGAGCTGAAGGTCACAGACACGGAAAGGGAATTTCTGACCCCAGTCCTTAACTGGTTCTTCTGGAGGACAAGGGAGCAAGTGAGCAAGGAGCTGCTCCTGCCACTGCGACTTGGCCAAAACAAGAGCCCAAGAGAGTTAAGGACAGGCTTTCCTTGCTAATCAAGTCAGGGCAAGTGCTTGGGACACTGGCAGCTCCTTCACTTGTCAGCCACAGAAAACTTTGTTCTATCTGGAGCTTCTCTGAGCCTCTGGGCTGAGCGACTTTTAGACCTCCCAGGGGTCAAAAGCTTGGAAGATTCTCTGTGGAATCTCCCATGAAGGCTGTGTGATGCAAGGCCATTTCTGCAGCAGCTCCATCCCCTCTCAGACCTGCTGGCTGCACCACAGGCTGCCAGAAAGCCACCAAACATGAAAAAAAGTGCATGTGTGGGGAAGGGAGGATCTGACCAGCACCAAAGGCCTAATGGAAGAGGCAGCAGTCTCAGAGCAGAGGCGACAATTCAACAGCACAGACATTTTTGTAGAGCAATAAAAGGATGAAAATAAAATGAAGAGATTAATCTTCCGCTGCAGGTCACATTGCTGCCAAGAGACTGGTGCTGACAGGGGCAGTTGGACAAGGAGCAATCTAAACCCATGCCACGATCCTGTTTCAGCACTGCCAGGCTTACGTCGGTGATGAGGGATTTCAGGAAGTTGGCCTTGTGCCGCAGCGGGTCGTGGACGAGCCCATCGCAGAAGGAGACGATCCCGTGGGGGAAGTTGTGCTGTGCTAACCATGCTACCACCCTCTGCTTCTGCATGTCAGGGCGGCCTGTGACATAGATAATGAGGTAGCCGAGGTCTTGCCAGTGCCTGGAAGGAAAGCCAAGAGTCAGCGGGTTGCAGACCCTGAGCAACACCAGTGTCAAACAGAGCGGCTGCCCCAGCCCCTGCCCTGACCTTACAACATCCACTGCTCCAGCTCGGACTTTGGGGTCGCTGCCCATGATGGACACGCTGGCTGCGAAGGAGCCGTCGATGCTGAACACCACGAACTCCGTCCCCTTCGGCAGGACCGTGATGTAGCTGTCTGCAAACGTGTGGTCACCCCTGGAGAGAGGGACACAGGTATTGAGAGACAGTGAGATACTCAGAAGGCATCACCGAGTCCTGCAGAGCACCACGAGCCTAAAACAGCACCCAAATCTGGCCCAGAGGCTCCAACAGTGATGACACCCTCGATTACAGGCACTGTGTGAGGGTCTCTGTGTTAAAGTGGGGATGGAATAGCACTCTGGAGCCTCGGCATCAGTGACTCAGAGAAGTAACCTCAGAAAACCATTTCTGGGTTCACCACTGAGAAGATGCTCCTCTCCTCCCCCTTCCAGAGCCCAACACGAGCAACTGGAGCTGAGCTGGAGCCCTGGGCTGTGAATCATCATGAGTACAAAGTTCTGTCCCTCAAGGACAAGTTTATGGTCTTTAAAATCTGTTCAGCTGTGCAGTTTTGCAGATGACTGTGAGGTGCACCCTGTGGTGCAGAAGACCTGCCCCTGCAGTGGGAGCTCTGTTCCTGAGCCGGTGGTGATGCACAAGCCAGAATAAAACACGGATCTTCCTCTTACAGCCGCAGAGCACAAGTGGGCCCTGCTGCTGGCAAACCAGGCTCTGATCCCACCGAAAAGAGCTGCCCCACAAGGAGGGACCACATTCTACAGTCATCAAATGCCTCTTGCAAAGCCCGGGGTGCCTCACCTGACCACCATCTTGACGGGGTACACGCCAATGCCCAGGCGCCGGTTCTCGGGGATGACGTAGGAAATCCTGCCACTGCTGTTGCTGATCTCTGTGTCAAAGTAAACCCACTCTCCCGAGGGCGGCTGGGTCATGATGTGAATGTCCACCTGGGGAGACACCACAGCATTAAAGACACAGACGAGTAGAACAGGCCAAGCACTAGGACATCCTACCCAAGCCCCTCTGTAGGGCAGCAGGGCTGGGTCTTGCTCCCACCCTCTGCACCTCACGGATCTGAGCTGAGAGGCACCCAAACATCAGGGTGCCAGAGTGAAACACAGCCCCAGTGGTGAAGAATCCCATACCAAATGCTGTTCCTGGTGGGATGCACCCACAAGTCTGAGCATGGCAACCTGACCAAGACACAAGGGCAGCAAGCACTGTCTGTGACCAAGAGAGCACCAACCAGCACCACCTCTGACCTTCTCACCACATGATGCACAAACCCCCAAGCACACACGGTACCTTTTCTCCCGTGAGCGTGACCATGTCCAATGGGCCGTACATGAACCTCCCCGTCAAGGTCTGGGGCCCATCTTCGTTAGCAATGGTGTCGTTTATCCTGTGGTTGGCTGTGACGTTCTGCACGAGGCAGGAGGGAAAGAGGGGGAAAAAAAAAAAAAAGAGGAAAATAAAGGAAAAAAGTCTGCAGTGATGGACAGCCTTGCAGGGAAATGCCAAATATAACCGGGCAAACTGGAGCGTGGGTTTCTCTGTGTCATTCCTCCACTCGACTCTGGGAAAGAATTTGACCTGTGGCAGAGGTGAGGCCCTGTGCCCTGCACTGATGGGTGGGTTGGAGTACACATGGCTGCAGAGCCCGTTTCCATGGCAGGCTGTACGTGCAATTCTGATACTGTCTATTAACTCTTACACTTTGGAATTAAGAGGAAATACAAACAGCTGCCAGAGAAATCTGCTGACATTGTTTCGGTTCTAGCACAGAATTGCCTTCTCAGGAACTGGAGACTTTACTGGGAGAGAAGGGCATTTATGGAGCAGAGAACTGGTATTTTTGCACTTTGAAAGATGTTCCGTTCTGGCTCCTTCTCTGACCCATAGCCAGCAGACTCAGGTTTTTGCAAGTGTCTTACAGGCTCAAGGCCAAGAGGAGACTTTGCTGATGCAGATCTTTTGGGTTGCTCATAATTTTTGGGCAGGACATAATCACTAACACAGACCAACAATGCAATGTGACCCTCTATCCACGCTGTGCCCACGCCATCCACCCCGCAGCCCAAATGACCTCCCCCCCTCTATGTAACATCCCCAAAACCTCCTCACCCGCAGCTTCACGTGTGTCCTCTTGCGGAGCCACTTCTCCCGGGGCTTGGAGGGAGTGAACACAGACACCTCCTTCCCGTCCAGCTCCAGAACACTCGAGTTCTCGTGTCTCATCACCTGTGAGAGGACAGATTCCACCAAGGCATCACCACCTCTGTGGTGAACCCCCTTCCACATCTCCCAAGCCAGCTCTGAGGAAGGGCAAAGCCTGGAGAGAGGTCCCTGAGTTTGCTGCTGGGCAAGCTCGCAGGTTTTACAGGGTAAGTGGCCTCTCCTGAACTAGCAAAGCCTGTGGCCGACACTGACTTAATCCTGGCTGGGATGGAGGTTTTTTAGACTGTCTGGACTCAAACACAGCAGGACGAGCTCTGCATTTAAGATACCTGCCCTTAAGATACCTGCTCTTGTCCCATGGCTCTTGCTTCTCTCACTGATTTGACCCTGGTGGAGACACACAGGGCTCTGGCTTGGCCACGGGCGAGGTAGAGCCCAGGGGGCCTGTCCATCCTGGCCTCATCTCCAAGGCTGACAGAGCATCAGCACTTTATGGGATGTCACTGGCCAGAAAGAGGATCAGAGAGGGGGCAAGGTGATGCTCAACAGCCAACTTTTGGGGCAATTCCTGTCTGTCAGCAGGGTACAGGCAAGGATGGGAAGCAGGAACCTGGAGGAGGGAGGGTTAAATCCTACCTAAGTTGCCCTTAAGCTCTAGAAGGGAAAAGGAAGAATAACACCCAAAGGTGAGGAGACACCTCAAAGCCTGATGTAGGATTGGGAGGTGACCCTGCACACACAGAACTCCAAAACTGGCAGTGGTCCTTGGTGACAAAAAATTAACAAGTCTATTAAATGTGGGCTCTTTTACAAGGTCTTGAACATATTTTGTGAGGTCAGCAGCTCTCCAGCTGAGCTCGGCTGACACGGGCCAGCTCCATCTGCAGAGCTGAAGCTGATTTTCATCCAGGGAAATGGAAAAGGGACCCCAGGGAGGATGAGCCTGCTGGGGAGGGAGTTCATGGAAATCCAATGTAAACAAAATAATGAGTTTCACTGAAAATTATTTAAATCATGAATCTATTTTGAGTCTTATTTGGGCTTGTTTTAACAAGATTCAATCTGTGGAGGCTAAAACTATTCAACAGCTTCTTTTTACATTTTGCTCAGAGGTGACTGTCCAAGGCCATTAGAAACAAGTCCTTATTAGGGGAAGCAGTGGTGTGGTGCTCAGGAAAGACAGAGAGAAGACAGGGATGAGAAAAACCCTGGTTTCAAGGCAGAGGTGAGTGAGCAGAGACAGGCACTGGGGGAGGGGGTGCCAGACCACCCAGGCTTAGAATGGATAGACAGGTACCGCCAGGTACTCAAGCCACAGGATTTGAAGCACCACACTGTGCTACAAACTCAAGATTCCAACTGAATCCTGAGTAATTGGCTGCTTCCTGAGTGGAACATTTTGTGTACAAGACTGTCGTGACTGTTCTCCCTCATGCACAATTACAGCTCTCTCTTCTTTTCAGCCCTGTTAGGCTGAGTTTGATGTGGGACCATCCAGCGAGGGCTGTGCAAGCACACAGATGTCCCACTGGGCTGGACACAGCCCGGGAAGAAAGGGTCTCCCTGGATTATCACTGCTGCTCAGCTGCCACCAGCACTGACATCTCTGCTGTTTACGGTTCTCACACTATTTGGAAGATGACACTGAAAGAAAGTTTGCCAACAGAGTCATAAATAATTGAAAGCTGCAGCAGAGGAGGCTGGAAGGGAGTGGGGAGGGTTTAACAGCTGAGCTGACACAAAGCAAACTCAGTGCTGGAGTGGGCAACACAATCCACAGAGTCTCTGAGTTTTGTTTTCTTCCAATTCCATGCTCTAAGTTTTGTTCCCTGGGGAGTTCATACTTTGTAAGGCAAATAACTCCCCCTCGTCCCCAAGGAATTGAAGGGAAAATATTTCTTTTAGGAAAAAATACATTTTAAACAGTAAATTTACATCTCAGGCCAAATATATGTTGATAAAATCTGAGGTGTCAGACTCCAGACACCAGCAATCCCCATTTTCCTGGCTCCAGAACTGCTTTCTGCTGCAGGAACGAGGACTAAATCCCAATGAGTTTCCAGAGGAAACCACAATAACTTAGCAAAGCAAAATGGAGAACTGAATTTTGCCTAACAAATTCGTGTTAAATTACTATAAAACTTCTCCTTTGGTTTTATTGTACTTGGTGCTATTTTCATTTGTACTTTGAGAAGTTTCCCTTTCAGTCTTGAGATCCAGCTTTGCACACACAGAGCACAGATTACTTCAAGAAACAAGTACCACTGACCTTTGCCACTGATCTGACAGGAAATTTCCCTGGGCTCTCTCCATGGATACCTGGTGAACCCAATCTGCAACCTGCTCTGATGTTAAAACCCAGACCCAAACCAACCAGGTGTGACAGCACATCCGTGAAGTTTGCACGTGTGCAGCTCCACCAACACCACAGGTGAGGAACAAAGAGAAGGGGAAGAAAATGGATCGGTGGGGAGGGAGGGGGCAAAGGGTATTTTTTTCACCTCTACGCATCAACAACTGTTAGGGAAGGTGCAGCAAAAAAAATAACAAAGAGCCCAAAATATTTTTCGGCCCAAGGGAGATCAAGGGAGGGAGGACAACACTACCTGTCTGAGCAGGAAGGAGACAACGTCTGTGGACTCCCAGTAGCTTGCATGGAAGAGGTGAGGCAAGGCCACTGTCGGGAAAGCCGTCAGGGCATCGGGGCAGTACAGGGCGTAGTCGATCCGTTTGGTTCCCCACCACTTGGCAGCAACTGGAAGTAAAAGACTTGTTCAGATACAGGAGGGTCACATGAACACATGGTCTCCATCCCAAATGGGATCTCAGGGCTCTGGCTCCTCACTCCAGGTACACCTGAGGCTGCCCCTGGCTGGTCACACTGCTGAGAGGGAACAGCCAACCCAGGGCTCGGTGTTTGCTCAGACCAAGGGAGGAACACACAGAGGCACCAGCATGTGAGGTCTCCTTTATTTCAGCAAACAGGAAGGCACTGGAGGGCAGGTATTAAGGGGTCCAAGGCTCCAATGAGCCTGGGAATCCACGTGCCAAAATGTAAGACAGAAACGTGTCTCTCTGGAGCTGTGGGAGGAAGGATGTGTGTGCTTTGCCCACTACAGTACATGCCCAGGCCATCTCCAGCCCTGTTTCCAACTCCTCTAGCTTTCACCAAGGAGTAGCATCCAGGTTTTGGACACGCTAAAGAGGATCTGAGTACTGGGAATCCATGTGAGATGCTAAAAGGCACCATAAGGTATATGGCACGTGCTGATGGGTAGTCCCCAACAAGTTCTTGTTGCTCTCTTGGGCTACCACGTTGTAGGGGAGTGAGAAGTCCAGCCCAGCCTCCTCGTGAGCACAGCCTCTGGGGTGGATAACTAGACAAGTATCTGGGAGCAGGGGGACTTCATTGCACGGGGGACTGAAAAATACACTGGGATCTGGAGGGGCAGGGTTACAAACACCACAAATGAGTTTCTCCCTCAGGGAGACACCAACTTGCACCCAAGTGTCCAAACAGCTGCCATTCACCCCTGGGACCCCCCCACACCTCAACGGCGTCCTGAACTCTCCCCATACACACATTCCGTCTCAATCCCTGGAAATAAGCAGGTCTCAGCCCAAAGCCTCAGACCCTGAAGCCAAGGGCTGTTCTCCCAGCACTGACAAGTCCTCAACACCCGCCTGCTCCGGCCTGGAAAAGCAGCCAAGGGAAGAGAAGATGGATCAGATCAAGAGAGCAGCAGGAAGAGCTGTGTTTGCATGCAGAATGCAAGCTGGGGCTTTGACAAGGGCTTCCTCAAGCTTTGTTTTCCTCTGTGACAATGTTCCCTTTCTAAGGACTTCCAGGAAAGCTGCCAGATTTAAGGTGTGATCCAACACACCCCTCTGTTATGGGAAATCTGGCTGGTGATGAGCAAAGATGCTGAAAGGAAAAGATGGATCCACCAGCTCCTTACAGAGACCCGCACAAAGCTCCCACCCGCAACGACATGCAGAGGGATATGGCATCAGCACATCCCTGTGGCCCAGCCCTGGTTGTGGCAAGTGCCCAGGCCACCCTCACCCTGACGGGCCCTGCTTTTCTGAAGAGCCATAGGAAGGAGGAGGAGGGTTTGACAGATCAACATGGCTTTTCCAGAGCACACAGGCATCTCCTCGCAGCCTTTTCTGAGTCCCTGTCTTCCAAAGTGACAGCTCCTGGTCACGTCCCAATCTTTCTTTTCTCATGCAAGTCCCCAGCTTGGATAAGTTCAGATTCTTTGTAGGAAGCGGACAGGGTCGACTCTTCCATGCTCAAAAGACAGCGGTGAGGCAGAAGGGATGTCCCCACAGCTCTGCCCAGAAGAATTCCTGCTCCTGCCAAGTTGTTAGCCGTGTTATGATCGATCTTCCGGAGCAAAGTGACAGAAATACTTGTTAAAATGCAATTAGACATTGCAAGTGCCTCAGTGAAAGCGCAGAGATTTGTTGCGAAGTTCTGTGGCTATGGAATCAGAGAGGAAGTCGACTGGAGTGGATCTCCCCAGAATACCTGTCTTGATGTCCAGGTCGGGTATCCGAAGAGCACAGCCTGCAGCCCCACTCCGTGGCCCCTTGAGCTTTCTTCCCTTCGCAGGGATTTCACGTTTATGCTGCCTACGCCTCTTGAAGGAGGTTTGGGTGGGGGATTTGTGAGGGAGGGCAAGTTGGGACAGAAGGCTAAACCCTCTACAATGATTAAAGTGGTGTTTGGTTTCTAAAAGGAAGAATAAAATATAGGAAAAAAAAAGCAGAAATCGCACATTATTACGGTACACACCGATTTTGTCCTTCAGAAATTCACAGTGCAAGAGAAGCTGCACCCTAGGGGAGGCTCCCTGGAGGGAGCCATGGTTTTGTGGTGCCCCTGTGGACTTTCTCCAGCTCTCTCTGGGGATAAACACGGATCATATCCAACCCTCAATGCCATGGCTTCACGTTATCACCACACTAATGAGGTTGAGAGCAAGAGCTGCAGAGGCCGAGCCGGGACTCAGGGGACACGCCGGCACTCGGGGGCTGAGGGAAAGGGCCGTGACAGCCGCGAGGAGCCGGCACACCGGGACAGGGAGCACCTGCAGCCCCTGCTGCGGCCACGCTTGTCCTCCCTGAGCTCAGAAACAGGTTTTGACGGCTGTGAAACGCGTGGAGGAATAAATTACACAAAGCAGAAGCTACACGAGGAAGGGGGGGAGCACGGGGAAAGCAGAGAGGCGAGCGCTGTGTGGGCCCGGCCCTGCCGCAGCTCTGGCAGGATCCCTCCATCGCGGCACGCTGGCCTTGGGGCATCACCCTGGCAAAAACACCCCACCACAAACCAGCACAGAACAAGCACCTTCTCCCCCAGGAGCTTCTTCCCAAGCAGATTGATATTTAGCAGGAACCTGGCCAGATGTCTCACCAGGACAAGGAGACACGCTGGGAGTGCAGCATCGGCTCTCCGATGCGCTTTGGGAAGGAAAACCTTGTTCATCAGAGCTCAGGTACTTATTTTTTCCTGCTGCTGAGCGTTGCCTCAAACAGGGTAAGAGGTTACAGGAGCCCCTAAGCAGCACCCACAGACCTTCAGCAACTCACACCTGCCTCAGGGAGCCTTATTAACCTCAGCAATTAATTACGGACTGAGTAATTCACAGCCTGTGCCAGGAATGGAACATCTCTAAATTTTAGCCACCTTCTGGAAATAGAGTTTAGGCTGAAGATTTTTTCATATGGGTTTGTTTGTTGTGTTTTGTTTGGGTTTTTTTCAATTTAAGTTTTCAGCCTTTTGGGGTCTGAATTATCAGAGGTCCATGAGGGCACAGAGTGTTCATCTCACTGTTCAGCTGAAACAAAAAAGAGGCTGAACTGTTAACAAAGTCTGTTCTTCTCCACTGTATTAGCTGGGAAATAATATAGTCTTGGGGAAAAATAACAAATAAAATCCCTTTCATTCCTCATTCGGCTCTGGGATATGGGTCATAACTGGCTGACTGTGAGCTGCCCTGCAGGCTACAAGAGAGCTGAATTTCTAATGCAAAGTAATAAATGTTCTGTTCCGAACAAACCTGTCCTTGCTCTCTTACAGAGGGGCTTACTCATCCCTGTTTTCCTGGGCCACAGCTGAGGGATCTGCATCAAGCTATATCCTGCATTACCAATCTGGAAGTGCTGATCCCGACCAGTCCTTCACAACTTATCACAGCAGCACAGAAACATCCCTTTGGATTAACCCTCACCACAGACAGCAGCCAAATGGTGCTCAGAATTAGCAATTATTATATATTTTTTTTAACAATTTATCACCAGCACAGTCCAACATGCAAAACACAGCGGTGGTCCCTGCGTGACCATCAAACATATCACCTGTCCTTCCAGGGGATGTGGTAACACATGGCACTGCCTGTGGCAAAACCGGGCGAAGGTAGAACAATTCCAACTTGTGGTGATTCATGGGAAGCACGGCCCCGGACAGACAGACAGACAGACAGAAGCTGTGTGGCTCGGCCCGGAGCGTGGTCGGAGAGCGGAGCGGCAGCGAGCGGGGTCTCGGAGGGGTGGAACACTTACTGTTGGCTATGTTGGAAGCAGTGTAACTGTCTGCCATTCCTGAGACCTGGCTGGCAATGCTGATCTCACTGGCTCTCCGGAAGCCCCTGAACTGAGGGGCTGAAATGGGGGTGGACAGGGACGCGTTTTCCACGAAGACGGCACCATGAGACTGAACAACATCTGCTACAAAGTTGAAACAGGGAAATCAAAATATTAGACCAACAGACAGAGGCTGGGCAAGATGAACTCAGGGAAGAGGCAGGAGGCAAACAAAGCTGGGAGGTGCAAAAACCTTTCAGAACGGATTGGAACGGAAAAAAAAAAAACCACCGCATATCATCGGAGCTCTGGTTTGAAAAGAAAGCAAAGAGCGCAGCAGGCAGAGATGTGGTTGGAGGAGCAGTCTTTGATTGAGAGAAGCAAAATAAGTAGCTCAAAAATCAGATCCAAAGAAAAACCCAGGCAGACTTATTCAAGCAGCAATAACAAGCATGTGTCATACAAACAGATGTGAATATACACAATTTTATATATTCACATCGAGACAAAATAACCCAGGTAAGGAGAACAACAAAAAAAACAACCTTTGAAAGGGGATATTTGTTTTCTTGAAATATTTGGATTTAAATTAACTTCATCAAGATAAAAACAGTAATGAAAAAAAAAATCAAGAAAACATCTTCATGCCTGGCAGGGACTAATTTGAACCTGTATTTTATTGCTAATGGATACAGCCAACACTCGTTAAACTGAAGTTAAGATCTAGTGAAAGGAGCCTGGTGCTCAGCACCTGCTTCTCCCACCGGAGCTGGTGGATTTGGGAATGCTCAGTCTCTGTGAAAACAGTTTCTCTGGTACAATGAGCACGTCTGGATGTTTAGATCCCAACCTGAGGTTTACCAAGTGTGGCCTAACCCCTTAGTACATAAATACAGAAAAGGAAGATTTAAAATCATGCTCACACAGACTTTATGTAAGGATTGGAGGGAAAAGAACCTCAAATGGCAAACTTGAGAGATGCTAAAAGTCATGACAAAAATCTCTGCATTTCAGTTTTCTCTCTGTAACAGTGGTAAGAACATCCACCCCTCTCTGTGGATGTTACGAGGCCCAATTAAATGGGATTAATTAAATGCTCCTGCACTGCAGAGGTTTGTAATGCCAATACCAGGTGCTTCATGGCAGGCAGCACCAGCATGGCAGGAACATGCAAAAGCAAAGCCACTTACTTAATTTTTTAAGGTTTTAAGGTTGCCCATCTCTGCTGCACCTGAACTTTACCCCCAGGTACCTGACAGGGCACAGGTCTGTGCTCTCAGCCAGGCAGGAGGTGCCAGGGGGGAACGTGAGTACCTCACTCTCACACACCAACACCCTTCACCTATTTCAACCACTTCAGATATTCCTGGACTAATCCCAGTGTGCCCCTGACACAGGGCGTTGTTTTGGCAACTGGTTCATTTTAACATCGATCTTTTTTTTGCTTGGGGCTACTGATTTTCTCCCTCTCCTCTCTCAGTTCGCAGCAGCAGTGACTGTGCCCACACAAATCCTGCTGCAGCCAAGGGAGAGGGAATGTATGAAGCTGAAAATGTGTGGCTAAGTGTTGGTAAAAAGAGTTCTGTTCTCTGCAGGGAAAATCAGGCCACAAGCTGCTCTGTGTAAAAGCTTTGTGGACTGCGAGATCTGAGCCTTGGCGGGAGCCTGACCTGATGATGAGCTGCACACACTGCCCACGTTGTGCCTGAAAGGCCATTAGCAGCATCACTTTCCCAGTACACTTTCTCCCCTCTTTTCACCTTGCCTCGAGCTGCTGCCTGTCAAGGCTGTGACCGGTATCCACAGCCCAGAGCTGTTTTCTGTGCAGAGCACCAGCTCGTGCAAGAGGAGACAATTCAAGCAGAGAACAGGAGCTGCACTGAACCCCAGAAAGGTCTAAAGTGTAAAGGGTCTCATTCCCATTGCTGCAGGACCTGGGATAACCCTCTCATCTCTTCCCAGGTTACCCCTCCCTCTCCTTTCTTTCTTAGCCAATCTCGCTTTCCTGGGTCTGACCGGGGATTTTGGAAGACGATAAGTTTGCAAGAAAAACATCCAACCTGAACAGCCCTTCCAACCCCATCCTGGAGCCACCAGAGGAATAATTCTCACTCCTATAAAAACCTGAAGTGTTTTAGCATTACTGAACTGTTCAGTTCAGTGTCACCCACACTGCTGGCTGCTCTGCAGGGCATGAGGTGCCACCCAACAGCAGTGCTCCTGTGCTCCAGCCCACTCAGGTCGCTCTTGTGTTTCTCACTTTTCCCAAGCTACACACCCTCTGTCCCTGAGAAAAAGACAGTTTCTAAGAAAAACAAGGGCCAAGAACAGGCAGGGCAGGAAATGTGGAGAAAAACCCATTTTATGCATTACTGCCCCCCGAGGCGAGCTTCCTCCACCCCAAAACTGTGACTTGCAAAGAAAATCCTGGGACCTGACTTGCAGGAAAAAAAACCCCAAACCTAACAATGTATTTCCTAACTCTGTGTATTCTTTGCACCAAACCCCTTATGTAGCACTTCTGAAACTAAGGGGGCTTTCTTTAGGGGTGTAGTGAGCAGGGTGGGATGTCACAGATGCTGCCATGCCAGCAGAGACTCCTAAAGAGAGCCACCTGAAGTCCCCTGCACTGCAGAGGTGAATCCCCAGCCACAACTCATCTCCTGACAACCACGGGGAGGTTTTCCAGGAAAGGCCAGGGTGAAGTCAGAAGGCCCAGCAGCAGCAAGACTTTGATCAAGATTAGCTGTTTCTTCATCAGTAGATAAGGACAGAGGTGCCCTGGTTTACTGCACTGGCTCAAGTGCACTTTGTACTGTGGCTCAGGGCAGGCTTTATCAGAGGGAACACAAGGAGACCTGGTTGGAGCAGCGTCCTGAACACCCTCCCTACCAGCAAAGCACCTGCTGCTGCTCAAACCACACGGCACAACCAGTGCCATAACCTGAGATTAAACTGCACTTGCATTAGAGGGAACACAGGCAGACATATCACCTTTTTTTTGGCCTACAATGCATCTCTAATACTCATTTCAGTGCTGTGCTCCTTCATTTATGGACTCATTTTTCAGTGTTCTCACCGTTCCCCACTAAGTGAACAGCCCTGGGCCATCCTCTCAGGGAAGTCCTTGGGGTACCTGAGTGACAGATTTTGATATGTGCTATCTGCAGGGTGAGCTGTTGCAGCAAAGTAACAAAAAAAAAATACTGAAAGCAATCAAAAATATGTACAGTTCGATAAAAATAAAAAATTAAACCCAGAAAAGCCAGCCAGCTGCTCGGCACAGGCCAGACCCAGCTTGCACTGGAGTCACTGCTCAGTGCTGGGCACTCTGCAGTTGCTACCCTGAGATCAACAACTACAGATTTCTGTTGCCCATATTTTTTCATGATTCTGGAAATTTCCTGCAGTCCAGTGGCTGAACTGGGATTCAGCACTTGCCACAGTCAAGCCAAGCACCGGCTTGGCCACACTGTGCTCTCGACACAACAAGGTAAACAGCAGAGAATCATCAAATCCTAGAATGGTTTGGGTTGGAAAGGACTTCAAAGATCATCTAATTCCAACCCCCCCACCACAGGCAAGGGATGCTTCTAAAAGCTCTGTCCTGACCACAGGCAATATCAGCTGACAGCTAAATGGCATTTCATTAATGACCTCCAAAGTGATTAATTAATAGTACCAAATCCTTTCCCTCTGCTTTGTAACAACCTCACAGCACAGGCAACGTGACAAGTGCACTCCCAAAAATCATCTGCACCTTCCAGAGACAAAGGGAGAGACGATGTGGGATGGCCAGAAGTGTCACCATCCTGTATGACCACATAACATCCCACAGGATCAGCTTGTTAAAGACAACAGGGCAGCAAACCCAGCTCTCGATGCAAAACACCAAGAAAGGCATGAGAAGGGGCAAGTGAGACACACAGGGGAGAAGAAACCAAACCAAAGTCAAGTCTCATCAAAACGGAAGATGCAGCACCAGCCACAACCAGAATAAACGAGGCCATGCAGCGTTTGCAATGGAAGATAAGGCAAAACAAATGCATCAAACTTTGCTTTTAAGGCAGAAGACGAGAAATTAATTTTAAAAAAGCCAACACACAGAGCCACCCTGGGATCTGAAAGCCTCAGTTGCTGTGTTGGGCAGAGCCACGAGGAGCGTCCCAACGTGAAAGGCTCAAAGGGACAAAACCTGGCGTGACACGGGCATTAATTGGACCTCTGGGCACGGTGCAACGTGGTGACTGCTGACAACCCTTTCCCAAGGGATCTGCCCATGTGAATACCACACAAGCAGGGCCACCAGGGACAGCAGCTCCCCTTCAGCACCAACACCAGAACAGGACAGTCTGCAATCCCAACCTGTTGTTGCCATGGTGGGTCTCCCGGCCCCAAGCGTGATCCCAACTGGTTATTTCATGTGGCACAGCCCGAGACACAGCACGAGGATTTCAACCCCAGGGGGCAAGAGTACAATCTCCAAAAAGCACCCCAAGAACCCAACACCACAGACAATACAAAAGTGTAGATTTACACACACTCAGCAAAACCAGCACTTTTATTGGAAACATCTTGCCAATTCAGTACGGGAACGGGGATACTTGTTTCCATGAAGCTGTCCTGGTGCTGGAGAGCACCCAGAGGGCTACTTTCCATGAGGAGGATGGGATTGTTCTGGATTGTCTCAACTGGAAGCAGATGGGGAAAAAAAAAAACAAAACAAAAACATAACAGAAGGACAAAGAACAACAGACATGCGGCCACAAAGTGTTAAACATACAAACAGTTACACCCCGGCACTTAACTATGAGTCCTCAATGAACAGACAACCTTCAAATAGAGTAAAAGAAACAAAACAGGGGTGACTTTCCAAACAGACTCACATCAGAGATTAACTGGGAGCAGAGGAGAACACAACAATGGCATTTCAACAACAAAAGGGAGTCCTCTTAACCCGCTTCTCCAATGAGCCAAATCCATAAATACCCAGCAGATCCAGAGAAATCTTTTTACTATGAGGGGAAAAAAACATGGAATGGGAGAATCAGACTCACAGCCTACACAGTGCAAAAACACAGGAGCAACCAGGGATGTGAGTTTGATTTTACTCTGCAAATTCATTGAAATGAAACAGCGACCAGCATTTAGTACGCATGGGAAAATGGGGGGAAAAAAACAGTCTAAGAAGATTTCTGAATTGTGGACTTTAAAAAAAAGTTACCTGCATGAGTAGATGTGCATGAGCAGTGTTACAGAAGGTTTGGTACAGAACTAATTATCACGGAGCACCTGAATTTTACGTGACCAACAAAACATACAGCGTAATTATAGCAGCAATTAACTTTAGTGGAGCGTCCTACAGTGAACACAACTTCAGTAGTGGCTTGGTGAATCATGGTCAGTCCTTCTGGGTAATGTGCACATCACACTGAAATTTGGACTCTGATGGGAAGGAATAGCCTGTTCCTACATGATAAGCAAATGAAGAGGCCTTGCCTGACAGGAAATGAATTTAAAGTTGGTTTTTGTCACTTTAATTCATTGAGGCAGAGCAGTGGCTCTTAAAGTAACAAGGCTCAAACCTGGAGAAGCTTTTGCAATCGCTCTGCCACTCTCCTAAGTTGAGCTAATTGCTGTTTAACTCTTCTCCACCACATAACAAGTGTCTCTCCAAGCACTCTACTAAAATCCCTGCTGCTGCACAGAATGATAACCAGAACACAGGCTGTTCAGTGTCAGTGGGGCCTCTGCCTCTGGGTTCAGTGAGAACAGGGGCTTTGGAAGGTATTATTTAAGAGGAACAAAGTAAGATGTTCAGGCATAATTTTTTTAAGCAGCCCCTTGCAGCAGAATTCACCCAAAAAAGCAAATTGCTTTTCAAGTTGCTATAGATTCCCAGAGTGGTTGCAACTGGCCTGGGTACAAGTGTAGTTGTGGGTGGATCCATTTTTGAGAAGTGTCGCAGCAAGATCTTTGCTAAATCTGACAAGTGAGTGGGGCCTGCAGAATGTGTTTTATTCGCTTTATTAAACACGGGGTTTAGTTTGTGCCCATTTAACAAACCAGACCTCAGGATTCAGCAATTACAGCCTTTAAAGACCCTGATACACAGAAGACCACTGCTTTTCATTTTCAATTTTAAAATGATGCATAGTGTGACCAGAATTATTCAGCTCTAGACATAAGAGTCTTCTTCATTTAATCCTGCATGATTGAAGTATTAATCAAATGGATTGCTCCCCCCCAGAGCTTGGGGAAAAACAACCACCAAACCCCAATCTTTCCAGCTGGTGGCTTTGTTTTTCTCCTCTGGTTTGCTGGCAGGATTTCTTGTGTGTTTGAAGCCTAGTCTTATAGTAGTGACTCTTAGTTGCAACTTAATTTAATCAGTCACAGACTAAGCATCTCTATCCAGGGGAAAAATTATGGTGAATTGTTCTTGCAATTGTCCCAAAGTCCTGGCCCCTGCAGGGAACTAAAGCTTTGGGTGAAGTAAAAAGGTCAAATTTAGTTCTGCACAGTGTTGAGCTTCCCGAGAGCTCCTGGCAATGAGAGCCTGCACTTGAAACAGTAAGAGCCCATGAGAGTCCAGGCACAGCAGTGAGGTGAGGATGGCAGGAAATAGGATTTATTTTACTGGACCAACTGCAAGAGCACTGATGAAATGGGAGCTGAGGCAGGGCATGGTCAAGAAGGGCATGAACACAAGAGTTTTGGACGTTATTACAGCTGTAATGGGGGCAGAGCAAGTGAGGAGGCCACAGACAGCAGAGGAATTCTAGGTTTCCTAGGAAGACAAAGTGTCTCACTGGCAAGGTGGGAAGGGCAAGGCACTGTCACCAGCCCACTGACCTGCAGGAGCCTGCCCTATGAAAAAGCACAGGATGGAACCAAGGAAATCATCTCCTCATCTCACTGTTTTCTTGGTGCCTTCCAGTCTTCACTGGCCCTCCAAGCACTGAAGGCCTAAACTCTGCCAAGCTAATCCTGTTTCATTCAGTCCCAGTCAGAAGCACCAGCTTGGATGCAAAACAGGGACCTTCACACAGAGGTCACCTCATTGTGGCTCTCAGCAGCTGAAGGTCCTTGTGTGACAAACAAAGGGCAAGAGGGACACAAGGCACTGATATTGCTGGAAGAAAACTCCTTTTCCGGTAAACCAGGAACAAGGCTAATGCTACAGGAACAATTGCTTTGATAACTTCATGTAAAATGTGGATACAATCCTTTAAACAGCTAACATGGCCCCAGAGTGACTTACCCAAAACAGCAGAATTGCCATCACCCAGTGGGAACCGCTGGTACCGGGGAATATTAAAGGGGGGCAAAAGGTAGAACTTTTTCTCCAGGAGAGGCTCGAGGCGTGAAGCAGATGGGTCTGCAGGGTGGAACAGGTTATAGACCTGCTGACAAGCTGGTCTGAGCTGAAAGACTAAAAAAAAAAAAAAAAGCCAACTCAAGTATCAAAAGATTATTAGTTAGAATATTGTAAATAGTTGTCTGTAAAAAGGACAACTGTTGGGTTAAAGAAAGTGCTAATCAGCGCTTATCATCTCCCTCATCTCACGGTTTGGTCAATTGAAACAATTTATTCAGTACTTATAGACTCAAGAATTGTCCAGTATTTTTAATATTTGGAAATACAATGCAAATAAATAGTGTCATCAGTACTGGCCAGAGCACACAGGGATCTGCTTCCTTACAGTGCATAAATATAACAGAGCAATGTTTGGGTTTAACCAAATTCCTGCATTTGAGCTCCACCAAGGGAGCTCAGCAGTTTGCACCAGAACTTACTGTCAAGAGCAGGAATGACAGTTTTTCGCAGTGCAAGAACCAGGCCCAAGGGAGAACCAAAGAGGAAGAAGTCTGTGATCTCAAATTCGAACTTCCCAATATTTCCTCCATCCAACATAGTGGAGCTACTCGATCGCCTGGAGCCGGGGTCGTTTCTCAGGACACTGGAATGTAAACTGGGACAAGAAAATAAAGTCAAAATTTCATTCATGCTGTGTTTGCATAAGTAAAGCCTGGACCAGTGATTGACAGGGAATATAATTTCTCTCTCTTCAGTGAGGGAACTGTGCTAATCAACCCCGAACGATCATGTTCCGGCGGCATCACTGTACAAATCCAAGCTTCAAGTGCGTTCATTTACACACACTGTCCTCAAAATGTTTCTCCTCTGAGGAGTCCAAACCTTGGTTGCTGCTAGTAGGACACTTCTTTGCAAGAGAAAATAACCAACAAGCTAAAATTACTAGCGTAGCAGGGAAAAAAGCGGGTTTACAGTGATTCACTCCACGCCACATGTTACTGCTGTGCTTTCTGGCTGTTCCTTCACCTCATTCTCAAATGTTGAGGAAAGCTGTGCTCATCCCTTTCTTCCTCGTGGAAGTAGTTGGACAAATGTTATTGGACTGAAAATAAAAAAAAAAAAAAAAAAAAAGAAAGAAGGGGAAAGAGAAGAAGAAGAAACATCAAATCTGCAGGAAGATTTCTGATACCATCATGCATCAAGGTTGCACCACAGATTCTAGGTGTGTGGATGGCACTCACTGAGAACGGGAATTTGGGGTAATTCATTCAGTGGCCATGTGGTAAATTGTATTTATCCTGCAACCAGGACTCTCCCACTTCTCTTCTGCCCATGAGGCCACATCTGTCAAGTTATAACCAAACTACCTCTCAACCTCAGCCCAACAACTCCAGGTAACTGAATTTAAAAACAATAACTACATAAAACATGTCCAGTTTCCCCTCCCCTCTCTCAGGTTTCAAATCTGTTGCAAAACTCCAACAGTATGTGATGCAGGCTGGGCAATAAGAGATTTAAATTCACGTTTCCCTTGGACACTCAGAATAAGCACCAGGAGCTCTTAGATGGATGTGGGAATCCACCCCCACATTAGGGAGAGTTGCTCTTTTGCAGTCTAGATGTGGAATTGTGAAATGCCAGATGTGTAACACCAATAACCTCGTTCACAAAGCAGTTTCTCAGGCTCCTCTGTCACCACCCAAAAGCACTGAGCTGCGATTTCCTTTGCTCTCCAGGCTGTGCAGATTCCGACGGCAGCCACGCTGGGTTAGCTCAATGCAATTAGAGAGTTGAAGACAGAGTAGCAGCAGTGCCTTAACGGAGAGTTTGCAAACACTTTAAAAAACATCAGAACAGGGTCTGTAAAATATGTAGGGTAAACGGATACCACAACAGTTGGGTTGGATAAGAGGTTTACTGGCCCGGAATCAGGAATGATGCAAATCCAACAGTCTCCTGCCAGCTCTGTGGCCCCAAGTCAAAGCCCCAGGTGGTGACCAGCACTTGGCACGTCCTCACATGCAACAGCCCTTGCTCATCAAGGCCATTGCTGAGGGCAGGGACACCCCAGCTCTGCTGTGCTCACCAGAACTGGGCTGTTCCCTCGCCCCAGCACCGGAGCGGTCGCTCACACGCATCCTCTAGGACAGCCAGTCAGGCAACGAGCAGCTGGAAAATGCTCACACTTTCGGGAAGCAACGCAGGTTTCACCCAGACTTTGTTTTCCTGCTGTGGCAAATAACCCATCATCCCAGAGACAGCTCCTCTGCCGAACGCCATTCCCAAGGGATGCTGAAGCGCCGTCTGCTCCTGCTGCGCTGTCATTGTATCCTCTGGAGCTGCACACAGGCACATGCACGGCTCTCCCGCTTCCCAACCACAGGGAGACGAAAAGCTCACTAATGCCAGACGCACGGATCACGGGAAGTCAAAACAGCGATGTCAAAAACGAGAGGAACGGGGGGGGGGTTGCAGCAGCGACAGTGAAAATGAGCATGTTCCCATTCCTGGGATGCAAACGAGGTTCCCCGAGACCGCCGTGCCGAGATGCACAACGCTCAAACGCGGCTGAAACAAACCACCTTCAGTGCAGCTTAAATTACTTTCGCTAACAAGACTGCAACGCAGCAAGTTTGCTGTGTGTGAGGAATGCAAAGTCAGGTTTGCAGAAGACAAGGCAACAGCACCAGGATTCCAACAGAGGCACAAAGGGAAGACTATTCCGATGGCAGGATGGGTACAAAGTGTCTTTGGTGTGTCCCACCTGGCTTCCCACAGCATGTCTTCATGAGGAAGGGAAGAACGAGAGCACTTACAGCACTAAGCAATTTGGAGAGTTCTCTCCTTTTGCTGTGAACTCGATAGTCTTTTCAGCAATCAAAAGAAACGAGAGCCAAGGGGAACTCAGAATCTATCAAGCTCCAAACAACCTACAGCGCCCTGTTCTCCCTTTAAAAAGCAGCAGATGTACTGTGTGCATTAATTAAACAAGAGCTTATGGATTTCAGAAGCAAATCAACTCATTTACAATAATACAAGTACAGCACAGCCAGAAATAATGTAGTTGCGCAGAAGGACTGAATTTAAAAATAAATGTGTGATTGTAATCTCCAGATGCTGCTCTGGCTTGCTGGGCATTATCCCAGAGAAGTGGGTAGGTCTGATACATGAATAAAAATGAGTGTCTTTGGCACAGGCTGGAATCTGCAGTGGGCACGGACAGAAAGGTCCCTGTGTGCCAGGCTGCCCGTCTGCCGAGCCCATTAGGGAAACTTGGCTCTGTTCTGCCAATCTCCTGCCCGAAGCCACGTCACATCAGGGCTTGGGTTTTGCACGGGAAAAATCATTCCCTGGTGACAGAGGCTGACAGGACGTTCTGCTGAGGAAGGGGCTGCTCTGTACAGATGGCTGCGAGCACAAGGTCCAGAACTGGCGTGGGACACGCAGGAGGGGGTGAGGTGAATCTCTGCTCTCCCTTCGCTGCACCAGGGAGAGAGCTCATACAGCAGAGCTTTAACCTGCCCTTTTCCCTGGGGGAATCCTGCTCTCAAGCTCTGGGAAGGGACTAGTTTTTAACCCAAGGTCTGAAAGGAGATTTAAAAAGATTTAAATCTCTAAGGAAGGACAGATGCACCAATCCATCAGCCCACCGAATACCGACAGCTCTTGCCAGGGACCCACAAGTACTTCATGTTGGGAGCAGGCACAACCCTTCAGAGACGGAGCACGAAGGATCAGCACAAAGCAATTTGGAAAATAAAACTGTGCAATCCATTATCCACGTCAGGTTCAGCACTTGTTCTAAAATAGGTGTAAAACTGCATCAAGACGCCAGCTCGCTTCCATTAACTGAGTCCGTGCCCCTGAGGTCAATAACAAGGAGGAGAACGAGCACATTTTTGCACGACTCATATTTTCTCCTGCAACACAGGAGGCTGTTTTGAGAAGGTAAGACCAAGAGCCTGATTGCCTCTCATTAACCTGCTGGAAATAGCCAGGGAGCTTATTGTGGGTTTTGTAAATGCAGCTGTCTCTCCGAATATTGTATCTCTGTGCACCAACAACATTCACTTTGATACCTTCTCTCTCCTATAAATCATTTACAAAAGGCCCCTGACATGGCAGGACAACACAAATCCCTGTGCTGAAACAATGAGTCCAAGTAGTGAAGGAGGGGGAAAAATGCAGGAGAAGCCTCCAGCTCAGCACAAGGAAAAAGGAGCAACTTTGAACAGCTGCAATGCAGGCAGTGTGTTTGCTGTGGGGGGACATTGCTTCCCAATTCCTGGCATGTGGGAGAGGAGTGATTAAGAGGATATTTATTGCAGTTTCTACGGGCCTGCTGGAGGAAAAAGTCTGGGCTGTCCAGTCCCACAGGTCAAAGAAGATGATTCAGTCAGAAAAATCCTCTGGGTTTACAGAGGTAATCCCTGAACGAGCGGTGGCCATGGCAAGGCTGATGTTAAAATTCCATTGGTTATGTTAAGGGATACACTTCTGAGGGTCCATCTGAAGAAGCTTAGGAATGTGATATCAGGGGCGTCAACAGCTGAGTAACAAATCTGAAACCCGTCCTTGGTGCAATGGAGCAGCCCTGGCAGGGGACAGAATAACTCAAAATCAGGCCTCAGAGACGCTTTAAATTAATCCAGCGCTGGATTCCCAGTTCTGCTTCACCGACTCCGCTCGCACGATTTCTACATTTGCTTTATGACCTCCAGCCCACGCTCGCAGCACAGCAGAGAAGCAGCTCCCTGACAGCCTTGCCTGTCACACAACAGCACGAAGGGCTTCTTGCCATTGCACTATGGATGCAGTAAAAAAGCTGGATTCTCTCAGTGCCACTCAGCAAGAAAGCTGTTAATTTTTTTTTTTTTGCATATACAACGCACCGGAATCAATATCCCTCTAATCTAAATTAAATGTTTTCCTCCACCTTGCTTATCTCAGGACGACAGAGCAACACTCAGGCTTCACACATGCAGCAGCCTCAGCTCCAGAACACTGCTGGTTCTGTTCCTTCCAAGTCTTAAATCTTACCTTGAGAGAAAGGCTTGATGCTGCTTTATCGTGTCCAGTTCATAGGTTGATGAATCACTCCTTTTCCGTGGCAGCTGCTTCTTTGGATCTTCTCCGTTGCTACGAGGAATATCAATGTTGCTCCTGCTGAGGTGTCTGCTGGCTTCCAGATTAGAGCCACTGGAACAATAGCTGTTGTTCACCGTTATTCCAGGGGACAGAAGGTCCGTATCCTGGGATTTGAAATATACGGATTTGGCACTCTGAACAGCTGAATCAGGAATAGACTCACACTACAACCTTCTCCTTCCACCCTCCTTTCCCCATCTACCCCAAGATCCAGTTGAGGACAACACAGGACCTCAGGTCAAACCACCTTCTGAGGGTGTGGGTGTTGCTTCCCACCAGAGGGTGAAACATTCCCGTTCAGAGCCAGCGCACCCAAACTGTGACACGTATGCACACGTTTGCCATCGGTAAGGAATCGAGTCTTTGGGTTTTTTTGTGGGAAGATCCCTACTAAAAACAGGAGCCCTGGAGGTGCTGTGGCCAGCAGACCTGTCCCAGTAGCCACTGGGTGCCAGCATTACCTGGACACTCACAACGCTTCCTCGCCGGCTGCTGTTCTGGCTCTCGGACACGGTCTGATTGCTGTAGCATAAGGCATCAAATCCCAGGATTCCTCCAACACAGTCCCCTACCAAGCAGACCTGAGAAAGGCAACAAAAGCAGGAGAGGAGAAGGGGGAGGAATAAAAAGGAAATAAAAGAAAAGCACCCCTTGACTCCAGCTCCAAGCTGACAGGTAAATGGATGCTGGATTACACCTACACAAGCTGGAGCAACAGAATGCCCAGTGCTTTCATCAGAAAAACTACTCATTCAATGAACGTCCATCAGAGCCTGCAGACTCCCATTATCTCACACAGCTGATGTGTCCTGGCTGTCCCCACCAGCCAACTGGAATGAAGGGAGAGCAACACAGAGCCCTGATCCCAGGGCTTACTCCAGCCTCAGGAAACCAAAGCTGGATTCCTCCCTTCCCAGATGTCTGTGCTACTTCAGGGAAGCTTCCCTGTGCTTTTGCCCATTAGTATCCTGAGGGGTAACACTGTCCTGCTTCCAAGGGTACTGAGCAGACAGGCACAGTAAAGCACCACTGGGTAGCAGAAGGCTGGCTGGGAAGAAGCTCAGGGTGGATAAATCACACCACAGCAGAGCAATGTGACGGCCAGTCCAATGTCCTTGCCCTCGTGGGGCTGGAGAGTCCCTTTGCTCAGAGGTGGGAAGCTCAGTCACGGTCTTTTATGGGGTGCAGCAGCTGCACAGTCTCAAAAAACACCCCCGCTGCTGTGACAGCTCCAGCACGAGCTGCTGAAGGTCCGTTCAGGACAGGAATGCTTAAACAGCCTCGGTTTGCAATGGAGAAGAGACCCTGCGTTTAGTAACAAAAGTAGCATTCCTGCTTCAGAAAGGTGTGTCACGCTGAAAATTGATTAACTTCACAGCTTTGTAGCTCCATTTCTGAACACCAACTCAGACTTTGCTTTGAATCCCAAAGGTTCAAGACAGAACACAAGCAATAATCTGTCTCTCTCAGAAAGAAAGAAATGGAAAGCACGACGCTTTCTTATTGCAGCTCAGCACTGTCATGTTTCCATCCCTCCTGAGAGATTAACGGCAAAGAGAGTTTCAGAAGGAAATTGCTTCTCTTGCTGCTCCCCTCACTGTGCTCACCAACAGCCCCTGGCTCACCTGGCCATTGAATGATGTGCCCTCCTGGGATCTGATGAACTCACTGTAGGCCTGGTTGGCTCTGACAATGACTGTGGCCACTGCTTCTTGGTACTGAGGGGAGGATGTTGCCAACAGAGGGAGTGCAGCGAGGGGAATGTGATCCTGGCTGTTGGACAGGCAGCCTTCATCATAACTGTACGGGCTGAGACTGCAAAGGCCAAGAGACATTGGAAATACTCAGCCCAACATAAAAGGTGGGGAAAACAATTTGCAGACAGTACAGTCGGTGTTGTGGTTCATTAAAAAAAAAAAAAAAAAAGCCTCAAGACAGAAAGGCCATTTATTCCTCTGTGAATGGGTGAGAGCTTAATAAATCTTTCCCTCCCATCAAACGTAAATCTTCAAGGACAACATACTTACACTGGCAGAACAACCCTCAGACAAGGAATTAAATCCTTGGTATTTATTGGATTAATTAGAATAAATCAACCTCAGAACTTGTGCTGCATGATTCCTGTATTCACTGCAGCATAGTATGAAATTGAGACTGAATGCCTCGCTGGTACATTAATAAGTGCATCCTCAAAGCATGGTCACAGCTTTCCATTACACATGCAGAACCCTTTAGGGAAATGAATAAAACAAAACAACCCCCCACCTCCCCCCAAAAAAATCCACAAGAAAAAAAAAACAAAAAACAAGAGCGAAATTGCAGATATGTCACTCCATGACAAAGTAGCAGCAGTTTACCTGGACACCAGGGAAAATGCTTCGGAGCAGATGGCTGGGCAGGGGACAAGCTTGATGGCAATGTGGCCAAGAGCAGCTGGGTAATGCACCCTCATCACTGTGTCAAACACTGTCGTGATGGTGTTGACATCCCCTTGCTTGGAGCTCTGGTCACCACTTCCTGAGTCCAGGATGTTCCCTCCGTGGAGCACCAAGAGGAGGACGTGGATTTTACTGGGCTGCATTAATGGCTGCACTGATTCATCCTGGGTAGGGATGGAAGAGACCACAGGGAAAGGCTCACTTCACAAAGAGGTTTGACTTGTGCCTTATTTCTGGCAAAGGCCATTGAATACACCTGAACACAACACCTGAGGACCTGACTACTCCCTCCAGGTCTCTTATCCTATGCACAAATCCACACACAACTGACTGTCTCAAGCAGAAGCAATGCTGGAAGCTTAAAAAAAAAAAAAAAAAGGCATAAAACTGTATCCAGGTAAAACATGGCAGGAATAAAGACGTTACTTGTGTGCATCAGGGTGGAAAAATACCAAACTAAGAGATGGGTGTTGCTTTCTGTGGGGTGCTGAGCTCAGCTGCAGCTGTTGGCAGTGGCACACAAAATTAACAAATGAGATCAAACAGGTCAGCAAGTGGCAAGTTACTGAGAAAAGTTGTAGGAAGATCAGTCATTGCATGTTTGCCTGCAACAGAAGTTATAAATAAGACTTCACAGTTGCTTAAACTGGGGCAAAAGAGGAACTGGACAGGCTGCAGCTTGGGGGAAGGAGGGATCTGTATCCAGAGTGGGTTCTCATTAAATGATCGGCCAGACCAGCTGTGAGCCCAATCCTGATGCTCCAGGAGCAGGAACAAGAGCATCCATTTGACGTGTTATAACACAGCAGAGCAGTAACTCTTTTTAATATCTATTTGCTACCAGGGCTTTCAGTGTTTACAGCTCCCATACAGACTCAAATCCTCCATCCCACACAGATATGTGCAAACACTCCCGTGCCTGACCCCTGTGCTCACAGAGCCAACACCTGAGAACATCCTGAGCAGCTCCCTGTTGAGGCAGACAAATAGCCACTGGGAGTGGGTGTGGAAGGAGTGAAGGGCAGCTGTACTTCCATTTGGCAAATTCTTCTAATTTTAGCATTTTTAGTCCCTGGTTGTCCTTTGAGCGGTGATTGAGTCCCTCACAGTCCCTGCTGGTGGGAGGAAAGCATGCCCAGGCACACATTAGCAACCTAACAACGAGCTTACATTTTTACCAGCTAATGTTAAAGCATGTCTTAACACACAGCCCACCAGAAGGACTAAAATTCACATCCAAATCTGTAATAAAGATTTTCCAGACCTCCTGCACAAGAATGGCCATTAGTTATTCAGTGCCATTCCGCTGTATTAATGCCTGCTCTTAAAACCTCCTCTGACTCCAGCTCTCAGTGCCTGCACAGTGAACTTTGTACCTGGCTGGAGGCACGGGAGGAGCTCTCCCAGCATCTCAGGCACCTCTTCTGCTTCCAGACAAACTGTTCTAAGTGCTCATTCGGAAAACAACATGAGTCACCGGGCTCAGGGCGTGTAGAACTTTATCAGCACCTTTCCCTTTCAGTTCATTAACCTCTGCCCTTGAAGGGAACGGGGAACTGCTGATTAAGTTTACGGGTGGAGGTGACTATTTAGAACTTCCTTGTAAGATCTAGAGCCTCTTAAGATACCCTCAACCACCTTATGGTGAGGAAGCTCTTAAACCTGAAAAATCACTGCAATGGTGGCATAGGAATTTCATACCATTTTAGCAGACAGCTTGTGAACAACTACAAATAACTGTCTTTTTCATCTCACTTTGAAGCCTGTTCTTTTCCTAAAATGAAGGCAGAAACAGGAGGGGGTTGAGTTTGTACAGCCCTCTGAGGAAGACAAGTTCTCCACACTACCTTGAGCTCCAAGAGAAATTTTAGGGCTGTGACTTGCTTATCTCGAGGCAGCCAGAGCCGTTGCCATCCCAGCCACCCACTCTCCCCGTGGCCCTTGAGCTCTCAGTCTATTATGGAAAAGCCAAATCCCCATGAACTTCAAGCCTGGCACAGAGAGTAATTTCAAAACCACGCTCGTGGTCTTTGAGGGACCACTTAGACACAACGTAGGCACTCTGCAAAGCAGCACCACCACCTCTGCAGCACTGACAGGCAGATGCTTCACGGGCAGGACAAGTACAGCTGCTCCTGGTTGTCTCACCAGTTCTGAATTACAGAAACCTAAACACGCAAGTCTAGAAAGCTGGGGTGGGTGGGAGTGTTGTTATTTATTATTTTACCCAAGCACTGACACAGGCTGTGCTGTAACTGCCTTCCAAACAAGACCCTGAGCAGCTCCACGTCATCGTGGGCTGCAGCTGAGAGGTGTCCTCTGCCCCTTGGTGCTGTAGGAACATGTTCTCCCACTCCCATCACCATCCAGCATTACCTACCCTCACAGGATTATTTGTTTTTTTCCAGTTGGATACCTGAAGCTGCCTGCAAACTACAGAGAATTTTCCACATGATGTTCAAAAGGTGGGTGAAATAGTCCCTTAAATAGGAAGCAAACGAGTGCCAGTGCAGCTCAGCGACACAAGGAGACAAAATGTCACTCACAGAAAAGAGTTTTAAACGTTTACCCCCATTATCCCACACAGACATAACTCCAGCAACAAAGGATCTCATTCCAAGAAACCAAAGCACTTACTTCGATGATGCTGAGCCTCTCCACGCTGGAGCCAACGTGGTACTCTGCTGATGTCTCCTGGTACAAGTCACCTGCAAGCAAAGGTGTAAAATGTCAGTGCTGACACTCTTCCATAAAGACACTGCCTCACATCTCCTTCATTATTTCACCAAACTGCCCTCTCCCTCCCTCTTGCCTCCTTCCACCTGAGAAGCCTGGCCAATGCTGGGTCATTTATTTCCCAGCAATTTCTCCTAACCTTGGTAAGAGCTGAAGACATTAGCGAGCTCTTCTCTCATTACAGCGATCCGGTAGCGCTGCTTTATTAAGGATGTCAACAATGGGAAATCCCTGCACCATTGTCAGAAATGACTGACTGGCTTTTTGGAAAAGGAATTGTTTGAACTGTGCTGGGGAGCAGAGATCTGATGTGTTCCTACGTCTGTGCCTGCACAGACCGACTTTGTACCAGTGTCATCTTCCACCGTGCTGCCACATGAATCGCTCTGGCTGAGGAGCTGCAGCTTCCTTTCACCATTTCATAATGATGAGCAGAAAATAAAACCCAGGCAGATACAGTCAAGAACAAAGGATGGAGCAAAAGGATAGAAGAGTCAGGAGAAATTCAAGTCATTCGAGACAGAGCTGGAATATTTCATCATTACAGGAGAGAATCCTGACTGTCACACAAAGGAGCCAACGAGGAAAATAAAAGAGAATCAAGAGCTATCCCAGCTCCCACTGAGCCATTCTTTTTTCAGCAGCACTGGGCAGTCATTTTTATGCTCTGTCTCCGCTTTTGTGAGATGAGGATAACAAGTTTTACCTTGCTCAGGATGTGGCTGTAACAATCGCCTGGAAATACTGTAAAATAGCACATGCAGTTTGTACTTAAAATAAAATTACCCTGGACATCATCGCATTCGGGGGTTTCAATTTTATCCATCAGATCATTGGAACTCCATTTGGTTATTTCTTTCGGGAACATTTCCTCATTGTCAGACAAGTCCTCTTTAAAAAACAGATTTTTTGAGAGTCACACACACAAAAATATGTACACAGACAAGAGCACAGAACAGAGTTTTAAATAAAACTAAGGCCCCATAGCTCTATGTTATCTATAAACATTTGGATGGCTTAAGTCATAATAAACCGCAACACTTTACCAGCTTTTGTTACATAGAGACCAAACCATCTTCTGAAAAGTAAACAAAATGTTTTAGTTGCATGTTTCTAACAAACAAAACTCCTAAAGCATGGACAAAATAACATGGGTTTTTAGTGCTACCACCTCGGGCACCAAGTTTGATCTTTTTCTTGCCATTCCTTCTGAGGGTGCTGAAGCAGCCAGAATGCTCCTGTACAGGACAAAGCAAAGTTTGCCACTGGGATCCTCCCAGAGCTGTTTGAGAGCTCTGGGATGTCTTTGGGGGCAGCAGGGACAAAGATCACTGTTGTTAACAGGACCAAACACCTAAAAAGGCAGGAGCACTAAAGGAAATGTGAACTCCCCAGGCTGATTTGCTCAGGAGATGAGACTTGTTTGGTCACACTGAGTACACTTATCTGCCATTTCCCTCCTACTTCAGGATCTTCTCAATCCTCTGGCTCAGTTCAACTGCAGCTGATAAAAAATAAGGGTCCTAAAAATATTATGTTCCCAGAAGTGTAATTAAAATGACCATGTAATACAAAGGAGACACTCTCTCTTTTCCTTTTTTTCCATTGAGGATGTATCTCTTACTGTTACAAAGGTTAAGTGCTTTCTAATTTATTTATTGTTCTGTGCTTAGTATTCCTTTCCTGAAAATTTTGAGCTTGTAAATTTAATAAAGAGTTATAAATGTAATAACAGCAGTAATTACAGATGTCTTGCAGATCTAAAAGCTGTAATCTTCAGAGTCCCAGACTAGGACTTCCCCTTTCTTACTGCTCTACACTTAGTAAAATAATTAGCTGGAAAAATCCTACAATGGGGAACCAAAAGATTATGAAATATACTCATCTTTTCAGCAAATCTGAGTAATAGCTTAAAAACCAAATTTTATGAAGGGGACTTAATGCAGATCCAAGCAAAGGCTGATTATTTTTAGGAGTTTCTATTTCAACTTTGACCATAAAAAGAGAGCAACCTGGAAATTTTGCATCAGCATGCCATTTCCTTTTTCAGCTATGGAAAAAAATCTGAGTAAATACCAATTCCCCTGCATGAGAGAACGTGGAGCTACCTGTCCAGAGCAACTGGAAAGCAAGTGCTTTCTCACGTGCTGGCAGAGAATTCAGAGGACAATTGTACTCAAAGCTCCTCCAGCAACTTCATCTAAATATTAAACTTAATATCCTTGAGAGGTTTAATTACAGCCCTTATTGCTGCTCAAGTGATCCCTGAATGGGATATTACTCCCATTATTAGCATTTATTACAGGATAGATATTCGATATTACTGCACTTGTCACTATCTTTACCAGAGCGCGCCAGTGAACGAGGATGAGTGGGAAGCTGGAGACAAGGAATCTTCTGGGGCTTGGGTTACGCCCACTGCACTGTGAGGAAATGTGTGTATGGGAAGCACTTCAGAGGAACCCTGCTCGGTGTTGACTCACATCCTGATCCGTGCCAGTTCCCATGGCAGCGACCCCGCAGATGAGCCGCAAGCGGAGCTTCATCCCTGTTCTCAGACCCGGAGCTGGGACATGTCATCTGCAGGCCAAGGGGCACCAAGAGATCGCCCCCAGGGACAGGGCTCTGTTCAACTGCACACACATCAATAGGCTTTGACTCCTAAACCAAAATCCCACCAGATTTGGGCACAGTTTTCAATCCAACAACGGGGACTGCAGAGGACTAACTGTATGTACCCCGAGACTTGCTGTTGCAGGAGAGGAGCTGCTTCTACTCTTACCAAGCTCCTGCAAGTATTGCAACAGAGGTGCACGAGGCTCATTTTTGTTAATTCCCCCTCCCAGGCCTGTTAGGAGCATGCCAGGGGTTCCCTGGGGCCCTGGATCCCAGGCTGAGCCATCTCCATCTCAATTCTATTACTGAGTAATTAAAGAGGCAAAAAGCAGTGGATAGCAAGGATGCCGTTTCCATGACTCACTCCTCTTCTCCTGCACGTATATTGCTACAATAAATCCCTTACATACTTTGTGTAAATGCTACATAAGTTAATAAATAGAGGCACCTAAACTAAGTTGGCCCTTCTCCTTCCAGGCAAGAGACACACGTTCACCCCCTGACTTACACGTGTCCCAACCATTTCAGCTGCTGCTGTACAAGTCACTACACTAACATGCCACTTGCCACCCCAGAATTTGAGGCCTGTGCCTAAATACTGATGGGAGAGCTCTTCTGGAACACAACGCTATCGATTTCTGGAGACTGAACTTTAGCTGAACACCAGCGAAATTGAGCTTTACAAAACTGGGGCGTCATCTTCTAACAACTGCATTTCACAGAAAGGTCACCAACTTCATCAGCACATATTGCACATCTCATTTCCATCAGACAGGCTGGGAGAAGAGTCCATCTGTTGTCAGTAGAGATGGAGCCCTTCACGCCTAAATTTGCATTAAGAGTGCAGGGGAACAAAGCTCCTCCACACACACATTACAGATCAAAAAAAAATAACACAGCTTGCTCTTAATACAGATAATCAAAATTGCTTTGAGGATTCTGGTATCAACACTGATTAATTTTGGCACCTGAAATACCTCGCTGCATTCACTATTGTATTTCTTGGAACATGAGAATAAGGAGTTAATAAAGGTAAATTTGGGTTTCTTCAGGTCCAGACAGGACGATTAATCATATCCCTTACGGATTAAAAAACAAATTAGAAAAATAAGCAGTCTCAGTGAATCATTAGGACACACCCACAGTGCAGTTAGTACCGTGGATTTTACCCACACTCACTTGCACAACATAAAATACAGCTCCAAAGGCTATGACTGTTCGAGATCCCTTCAAACACACCAGAATCTGAAATGTTGCTGTGTTAAAAGGAGTCTGCTGGGTGATGCTGGAAGAAGCTGCACCGTGTTGTGGTGAGAAAGGAAAAGACTTCAAAGCAGAAAGTCTCGCTTCCTTCCCTGCTGACCCCCCACCCTCGTGCCTTCCGCTCCCTTACCCCACCATTTCAGGGGAGAAGCGACGGTGACTGAGGCTCCACGTACCATGTGCATCAAAGAATTCATCATCTGAGCTGTCATCCGAATCCCTGGCAATGCTCTGCATCCTCCACTCGGAGATACTATGGCGCGAGGGACTTGCTGGAAAAAACAGGAAAGCCTGATGCGAAACGCTACAGCGGCAACGCGGAGAGTTCCCAACATGATCTTTGCTGGAGGGAGAATCGTGTGTTCTCTCTGAAAATTCCCTGCTGCAATATTAAAAACCCCAAACCCTGATGATGCTGGCGTGATGTCAGTGTACCGCTTTACAGATCCTGTCTGTTTACTGTTGTTAGAACCTGCCAGCAAGATGCTACATTAAAGCAAGCTGCTGCTTGAATCACTCTTCTGCTATTTTGAATGGCAGCTATTTATAATTGTTAGTAGGACGTGCAAAATCAGCTGGGTTTTAAAGTTTGCAATTAGGGAAGGAAGCAGGCTGATTGGAGGCTTTCTCCGTGCCTCTCATCAGCACACAGACCGTGCCTCTGCTTTGCTAACTTTTGGGTGGGTAGCTGAGCAGAGCAGCCTGGAGAGAAATAATCTGTTTTCTGGAAGGAAATTGCTTCCACACAAATTGGATTAGAGATCTATTTAAACTTTAAACTTGAATGATTTAAATAACATGCCATCCAACTACTTCATCGGGAGCTGTCGGAGCACGGAGAAACCCAACGGTCCATTGGGTGCTGTTTGCCCTCCTGTTCTCACACCTACCTGCTCCCTTTCACTTTCCCCTCCAGAGTTCCCTGTGCTAAATATAATCATATTATTGCTTTTTTATTTTATTTTTTTTCAGATATAATTTAGCAACAATCCAGCCTGAGCTCTTCTGGGCTGAACTTGTCATAGAGCGGCCGCCGGCTGAAGGGAGCACCGTCCAGAGAACGATGAGAGAGAGGGTTTCTCTCCTCGTGCCTGTCACACAGAACACACAAAGCCCTTGCAGCAGCCACCTAACCCAGCAAAAACCTGAGGAGACTGACAAATTCTCATTTAGCATATTCAAGACGCGGAAAGGCTCCGGTGGCTGTGACAGCTGCACGAGCCCTTTCACGCTATTGTTCCAACAGCGTTAAATATACAACTAAAATTCTTCTGATTTTTTTTTTTTTTTTGTCTGGTTGTCAGATGGAAAGAGGAGGGAGACCCTGTGCAGAGTCATCTAATTGCAGCTCAGCAGCCCCCAGCACCCACCGCCCACCTCTCGGGGAACAGCGAGGAGGAGGCTGGCAGAGCAGAGCTAATTCACGCCGGAGTGACGTCAAGGCACTCGCATAATAGTTGCTAAAAATAGAGCATATAATAACATATGGAATGGTGACAAAGGTCTTGCTATCAGAGGTCTCACTCGGGTGGTAGGGAAAGGACTGAGATCTTCGGGAGAAAAGGTGGTTTTTTTTCAGCTGGAGGTGGCGGCACGTCGCGACAGCCCTCCTTGCTTCCATATGGTAATACAGTGCCAGCATGGAGGAGGATTAAAATATCTGCATGACGTACTTCCCAGCACATCACAATTAATTTCTTTCATTACTTTTTCTTGTAAAAACTGAGACATTCTGCAATTGAAAGAGAAATCCATGCTTTGCTCCCACTGAAAACCTACGAGTGAAATCCTGAGAGGTCTGAAAACTCCAGCTCCCAGTGAACACGGCAGCAGTGGAAGAGGGGTTTGTACAAAGAGCATAATGGGAGATGGGTGCATCAATATCAAATCCCGGTGCAGGCAAAGTAGCCAGCATTTTTATCTTTATGCAGTGATTTATGAAGCATCTGGTAGGTTCTTCCCTGGGGCTCACTCGAGTGAGTCATCGCAAGGTAAAACTACTGCTCCTCTCTCATTCACCCCGTGATGAAATCAGTGATGGAGTGGGAAATAAAAATGGAGGCTCAACTCACAATATTTAGTGCATATGAGAGATGGAGAAGCTTCACTCACCCAAATGTTCCCTTCCACCGTCACTGGAAGAAATTCTGCCCCTTGGGGCTTTCAGAAAAATCAAGACTTTTGTTTTTGCCTCTTGCAGGGAGAGCTGCTATAACTCTGCTAACCAGTTGTGCTTGATTAAAAGGAGAGGGGATTGCTGAGGGTTCAAACCTTCTGGCTGTAACTCCCTGGGGATTCACCCAGGGAGAGGGGAGGGACAAAATCCAGGGCTCAAAGCTGAGTCCTTACAGGGCATCCACAGGGGAGCCTTAACATCAAAATCCTGAAATCTCCCTGAATGGTGTTTCAAAGGGAATATAACTGGGATCCATGGTCCCACCTAATGCCAGGGTGAGGTGTCATCTCCAAACAGCTACTGCACATCATCACCAGAGGAAAGCAGCAGCCCCCCCCCACCTTTTGGGGTTCCTGCCTCAATCTCTCCAGTAGCTGAAGTGGTGCTTTGCTGTGGGAGCTACACTGCAGCACCCACGGAGCCCAACACCCTCCTGAAGTGAACCAATAACCCTGGCCAAGGAGCACAGGTGCCTGCAGGCAAGCAGATATCCAGGAGGGAGCACCACTGAAGGGCCTTGTGGCTCATGGGCAGCAAGAACTGTCTCTCTGTGCTGCTGGTTTGTCTTCTGACACTCCACGCTGCCAGCCAGCTCCTGCCTGCTCCTCTGTGGTGCTTTCATAGTTTCTCTGCTTTCGACATTGGCAAGAACTCTGCCACGTGACACTGAGTCACAGTTATGGGATGCCATTCTCAGACCCTAAACAAGTCACCTGAGAAGATTGAGTGTTTGACACCAGCAGAGAAAGGCCCCTGAGTTACCAGCACCCACAGGAGAAACACCCCTTGTCCCAAAGGTACCTGACACAAGGAGACATGGTCTGACCTCCCCAAAGCCCAACCTCCACGCAGTTCAGAAGAGCAAGTCATCTTACCTCCCCTCTTTGAAGACCGTGAGGACTTGGAAGAGGTTGACCACTGCTTGGTGAGCGACCTCCCAGAGGCTGGTTCGCTGTTGGCAGCGGAATCCTCAGCGTCAGCGGGTGAAACTGTGTTGGCTTCCACCTCCTTCTCCCCAGGGGTGTCCTTGACACCGTGCTGCTCGGGGTCGCTTTCGCTGCAGAACTGGGCCATCTTCTGGGCCAGCATCAGCTGGGCCTCCTTCTCCAGCCGCCGGATGTCCTCGATGGTGAGCCCGTACCACTCGTCCTGCCAGCACCACGCCTGCCGGTGGGCTCGCACCATCACCTTCCGCAGGCCTGCAAAGCCAAACACCCCCGTCACCAGGGCTGCAAACTGCAGGGTTCAACGTCTTCCCTTCCCAAAACCTCAGGATGCCGTGGCCAGGATATTACAGTGACATCAAACCCGCAGCGCTGCAGTGAAGGACCTTCACATAGTCAGGGTGGCAAACCGGTCACTTTGTGTGCTTTATCTCCTAAATTCTTGCTGACCAACCACGCACTGAGAAATCAGCCAAGTCTTCTGTGACTGTTTTTAACTAGGGAAGGGATTTCCTAATTCTGGATGGAGGACTTTGTCCTCCTGTGAGTATCTGCTCCACCGAGCAGGAGCCACACACAGACCGTAATTGCAGCCCCCGAATTTCTGGTAAGTTGTAACATTCAGATTCAACCTTTAAAGGCAAGTATGTTACCAGGGAAAAAACAAACAAAACAAAACAAAACCCAACATCAACAACAAAAACCCACCGATTGTGGTTTTTTGTTTTTTTTTTTTAATCCAGAAGAGTTTCGAGTCATTCCTTGACGAACACTACCCAGCCCACCCCAACTGTTACATGACTGAAGCACATCCCACATCAGCAGTGCTAAGCCTAAAACCTTCCCTTTCCTTGGAAACCTGGTTTCTGCACCTGATTCCTATATATCAGTGAAACAGTATTACAAATATGAGCTTCTGAGATAATGAGATAGAAAGCAAAGTAAGAGAGAGAATAAAGATGCTTTATTTTGCAGATACCATCTGTCTTCTGAGAGAAACGGAGCGGTCAAAGCCAATTTAAAATATTTCAATGTATCACATATCTGAAAGGAAGAAATGCCTCAGTATCAACACACAATGCACCAGGCAACAGATACTTTCCTCAAGACTCAGACTCACTGGTAAACATCATAATACCACTGAGACTTTTAAAACATTGTAGTCACTTAGGATTTTTTTTTTTTGTTCATTTGATTGATTTTTTTGAACAAACAAGGAGTGTATTTTTATATGTTTATCTACTTCCAGGTCTGAGCACTTCATCGTTTGCTCTGCTCTTTGGTCAGTTCTTAATGCCACCAGCCCTCCCAAGCCAAGCTATCAGGAGGAAATGGCTTCTGAGATCAGCACTAATGTCATGGACCAGCGAAATCCGAGCTTCATTTGCACAGTAAGATTAAATTTATCAATATTTGATGCATTTCTCTGCCTGACTTTCAGAAGGGAGCTCCCTGTGGGAGAGGGAAGTACGAGCCGGCAGACTGCGACCTTCAGGGGGCAGAACAAGCAACTTAATTGTCTTCAGACTTAGTCGAGATTCAGAGTTATTTCCCATATCAGATTACTTTTTGCAGAACTACAGGAGGATGTTTTAGCCTCTTCACCTCCTGTTATGATTGACAACCAGCAGAGCTTAACGATGAAGATTAAACTCCCAGCACACCCACACTGAGAGCCAAGGAAACGTTTCTCTCCCTTTAATTCAGTCCCCAACACCACAGCCATCCTTTGGATTTCCACATCCAAAATGTCCACTTCCGCCTTGCTTGGAACAGCTTGAAAACAGACTGTGATCAGACACAGAAGTGAACGTCCCCCTTGCTCTCATCCCAAGGCTTCCTCCGTTCAAGGGCTCAGCAGGCTCCGCTCACGCTCCCGGATTCAGCCTTGATCTATCAGTGCACCAACTCCTCAGAAATTCTCTGTGTAGAGGCACGGATGCCACCGACCACATACCTGTGTTTTAATGGACTAACATCACAGGGAACATGAAAACCACTTGGGGGTAAAGAAAAAGTCTCTTGAAGTTCCCTCTCTGCCTCCTCAGATCTCAGAAAATCGCCTGTACTGCTTCCTGCCAACCCCCAGACCTCCCTGTGTGCCCTGCTCACACTGCTTTGATTAGACATCCCAAATCATCCCTCCTTAAAACCTCGTTCCTTTGAAAACAGGATGGCACTACAGGGTTTCACAGCGGTTGTGCCTCTACCCCTCCAAGTTAGTTATGAAGTCAAAAAGACAGATTACTTTCCCAGCCTCTGGCCTTCAGTGGGATGGGCCATTTCTCTTCCCCAAACACGGGGAGAAAACCTGGAGGAGAATGGGGTTGTGCAGGTAGCAAAAGAAATGGAAAAATAAAAAGTCACGGCTTTGAGAGAAAGTCTTCAGTGCTAGGGGAGAGAAGCTGAGCAGCTCCTCCGTGCACAACTGTGAGAATATCACTAATTTCCCACTCAGCCTCAGCTTCCAGCAGGCAGGAGGGACACAGGGGATGCACCGAGGGTCACACACAGCTACAGGAGTTCAGAAACCAGCTATTAATGACTGACCTAACTCGTCCAGACACTGCTTCCCTCCCTGTGTAATGGCAAAAAATCGAGTCCTAGAGAATTTTTGCATTTTTGTAGCTTTTGTTTAAAAAAAAAAAAAAAACAACAAAACAACAAAACCACCCAAACAAACAAGAAAAGCACACACGCACAAACATTCATATGCAGATTGATTTCAGAGTACCCGTCACTGTACATTGATTTAATTATAACATTTCCCACCGCTCTGTGGAGGAAGATCATCTGTGAAGAGTTGAGGAGGGTGCAAACATGTAAATCACTTGGCTTTCAGCTCACCACCTCAGAAGCTGGTTGCAAACATGAGGTGTTGACTCTTGTAAATGATTTGTGGTGCTGAACTTCATCATACGAAAGGAAGTGCAAATGACCATGAGACAAGCCAGGACAGAGAGGAGTCTTCATCTGAATTTAAAAGGCTTTGGTCTGTAGTTCTGGGTTTGCTTTTCAACATGAAGTAAAAATAGTAAATGTAACAAAATCTCAATGCAGAAAAAACCCTCAAATATATCAGAAAACCCACCAACAAATTCTGCTCCAAACCACCTCAATATCCACATAAAGCAACTGTTCAGATATCCATTGATTCTGTACCCAGTGGCAACATCCCAAAGCGTTTTATAACACACTTTCACAGTTTCCTGGCAGCAAATAAAGGATGCCTGATTCTCCCTGTGCGACACCATTTCCCTGACAGTCACAACAGATCCCATAACCTTGTCAGTAGGTTCTGGTTGTCCGAATGTATCCCATCAAAGGCCACCTGCAGTTACCTCTTTGCTTCCCTGCCCTCTCTTGCTCAGACCCATCACAGAGAACAGCCTGTGGTCACATCCACATAATTCCAACTGCAACCTGCCTCCCCTTGGCAAGATAAAACTCTACCTTTGGGCTCCAACAGGCTGTGGGTCATCAGTGAACTTAATCATTCGAGCGCTTCGGTGAAGCAAAAGTTCTGCAAAAGTGCTTTTTAAAACCACTTCATCACTGTGCAGCAATTTGGGCATATTTAGCCTAAGACACAGTGGCTTAGACAAAGCTCCAGTTACTGGGATGGAACACACTTTGCCACAGTATATAATTAATAACCCATACACAGTCAACACACTTGTTTAACAACAAAAGACTCAGAGCCCACGTGCACCATTAGGAAGCAAGTGGGAGCAGAACATTATGCAGTGCCAGTCCAATTAAACTTAAAATCTATGGAAAAGGAGTAAAAAAGCATACAAATATTACAGCCAAGTAGACTAATAGCCCACAATCACAATTTTAGTCTGTGTCTCGGGCTGTCAAAGCACTGAGTAACTGTCCAATTAGTCATGGGAAAGAATGGCTGTTGCACTCAGTGCGACTGAGAACGTTTCAACACCATCCCCCAGAGTTACTCCCTCTGTGCTCAGCAGCCTTTCCACATTGTACAATCCATCCATCACTCACCTCAGACCTGTTCTTTTTTCAACCCATTCTCTAATTTTAGTTTGTACCACTCAGTACTGCTCCCCTCCTCGGGCAGAGTTTGGATCCTGCTGTTTGTTTCTGCCTCTGTTCTCTTGCCGACTTGGTGGCCTCACACAGAGCTGGCTGATTCTCCAAGAAATAAATTTGCAGGGCTTGGGAACAGAGGAACCAGCAGGAAAATGCCAAGGAAGGAGGAACTGACCCACCAGAACGTCTCTGGCTCCTGGCTCCTTGGTCCACCATCAGCTGTACAACGCACAAAGGTCTCCATCTGCTTTTGGTCACCAGCTGAAAGCCCCAAACTGGGATCAGCACCTAAGCCTGGTCAGTCCTGTTGTAGCCACATCTTTCCAACTTAAACATCCTCATACCTTGCTGGCTGTGGTACAAATGCTGTGGCACTTTGCCCATTCACTAATGGCTTCCCCACGGCTCTCCCAGGGCAGAGGAGGCCACGCAGCTCCTGTAGATACCCAAAGCTTTTGCTTTCGCTTTTCACTCACTCTACTTTGTCTTGCCTTAAAGGCTTTTCTGATTTTATGCATCTTAACCACTTTGAAAAACAGTATTTGCCATCATTATAACAGAGTGGAAACGCTTTTGAAAGGCAGACAATGAGCTGGCTCTGCTCTCTGCAAAACCTCAATCAGGAGGGAAATGGCAGGCAATCTTTCACAGAACACAAAAGAAATGTTTCAAAGGGACCACAGTTTAATCTATGCCAAACACCTCTGAACAACTGGAAGAGTCACGTGCTGCTTTTCCATTTGACAGATACAATGGAGTTGTTATTCTGCCCCCGTGTTTTCCAGCATACACTAAATTAACCCGTGTCACCGAAACGCCCAGGGAGCTCATTGCAGAGAGGCACTTGTAATGCAGCCTTACAGCAGGTAAAACTTCCATCTGTGGGGAAAGGAAAAGCAAAGGAGCTTCAAGAAAACAACCTGTGAGCATTCAGAGAGAGGTGCTCACTATTCTGCACTGCTCTATCAGTGTTTTCCACATTAGCTCTCAGGAGCACGGTATGACTGTAAAGAGCTGTAAAATTAACGTATGCTACGCTCAGGCACTGCATGGAAGCTTTGCTTATCAGAAGTAGAGTTGTAGAAGTCATGCAGGAGGATTTACTGTGCACAGAAAGCAGGTACCATCCTCTACACAGCCCTTCTTTGGCCTTCTCTTTGCCAGAGCACAGCCGCAGCTCTGACTTTTTTTTTTTTTTTTTAGATGAAAATTCATTTTTTAACACACTCTTTAGAAGGTTTTTCACCTGGCCATAGATCCCGTCGTTTGTGGCCAGGCTCAGAAACTGTATCAGCTGTGTTACAGAATTTCTGCAAAGAACAAATTACTGCCAGCACTGCCACCATTCAGTCACTATACAACCAATTCCTCCCTAAAAGCCCTGACCTAAGAATGATGGATCCTTCAAAGCAACATATTTACTCACATCTCAGAGCTGTCAGTGACCCAGCACAGGTAACAGCACAGTGATGTGCAGGGTCCTGAACATCCCAGAGATGTCTGGCCACGCAGAGACCCCCCAGCCCTGTCACAAGGCAGGTAGAAACCAGGGATGCTCCAGGGAGTGGTTTTCTGGAACCACTCAGGTCTCAGGAATGAAGTTTATTTCTTTAGGCAGCCCTTCAGGATGGATTTTGGTCACAACAAAGAAAACTGGCAGATTTTGAAAATGATCTGGCAAGTTTAACAGACAAATCCTTATCTAAAAAAAAAAAAAAAAAAGAGAGAGAGAGAATGCAAGATCTTGCCCACACAAGACTCGAAGCTCTTTCAGTGGGTACACGTGCTTTGGGTTTGTACATACCACGATTATAAGGGATAGAATAACAGGTTTTTTTTTTCCTGAGCTGACACACAGAGCCATCAGATCTGAGACTCTCACAGACGTGTCTCGAGACATGATGCATTGCACACACCTCACCTCTGTGTTCTGATTCAGAAACAACATCAAGGAGCTGACAGTGAACCCTGCGGGACTACAAATGCTCACCAACATCGTGGATGAACCGCTCGATCTTCGACTGCATCCCCCAGTATCTGAACTCCACTTTGCACAGTTTGTATGCACACATGATGGGGTATTTCCCAGGGTTGTTCTTGTACTCCTGAATCCAGTCTTCTGAGAGGGGCCCTCTTTTAGTCTTCACTGATTTATACAGCTTTGGATCCTCCTCAGCTTTGTATTCATGTGGAGGGATGGGATCCTTAACAATATCAATAGGATCTGTAGAAAGAGAATGCAAACAGTAAGATGTTTTCTATTCCTCAACAAAAGAAAACATCATTTCTCGTGAGTTATCTCTGTTTTACCAAGTCCCAGAAGCATTACAGCTATTTAGTTTCTTTTTCCTTACACTTAAACAACTGATATTTTAATTGTTTATACACTGCTGCTGGGCAGAGATCAGCTCTGCCAGAGGAACGAGCACACACAGTTCCTGCAAACAGAGGCTTTGCTCCAAATCAATGTTTCTGCCCACAGTGGCTGCAGATCCACTCTGGCAGCTCTGCACACTCTGTCTTTCCAGCTCCATAAAGATGTGCTGCACATTCCATCTTTCAGCTTTTCTAGTATCACTCCCAGCGCTCCAGCTGCCTCATCCAAGACAGTTAAATACACCTGCCCTGCTATGGAATAGGCACTACCCACGGAATATCCATCAAATGAGGGTGCTGGGAACTCCCCACCCACTATTCTTAGACCAGATGTACTGAGGAAGGTAGAAAGCTGAAGTTCCAATTATCAGTCCAACAATGGAAAAGTGGAAACTGGGAGTGCAATGAATGAACGTATTTTAACGATCTGCAAACCCCCACCCCAGAGCTCAGCAGAAGCATCTGAAGTTTGGATTGAAGGGCAGGATCGCACTTCCCAAGGAATGACAGCTCTGCTGACACCTCTCAGGGAGGCAGCATGACTCGAGCCTGTTTGTTCAGCACTGCAAGCCTGATCAGACAGGCTCTGGAACGGGGCCAGTCTACAAAACAAAGGGGTTTAAATCACGTAACACTCCAATGGAACTGCTCAGGGTTATGGCCCTGTCCCACCACGGCTCCAGCAGCTCCACAGCCTCAGGGTGTCCCTTCCCAGGGCTGCCAGGACTCAGCTCCAGCTTAACACTTCTCCAGCCTCAGCAGTTCCAGAGCAAGGGATGTTTCCATCCCAGGGACGCTCCAGTCCTGCGTGGCTGTCACTGCCAGCACTCTCTGTCACACAGTCAAGTCTCCGGAAAACGCCAGGGGCACGGACCAGGATGGATTGGCAGGACAGAGGAATTGCTACAACACTTGTCGTTCTCTGCCTTTTTATGATGTTCATTTTTGCCTTTTCTCATAAAATCCTTACATTAACTCAATCTTCTAAAGCCAGCTCAGAAGCTGAGTAATAACCTGCATGAGGGCAAGACTAAAAGGAGAGGGAGCAAAAATGAAATGCACCTCCCTGCTTCAAAAGTGCAGATAGGAATCATTTCCATATCCACAAGGGAGCCTCACAAGTATACAGCAATATTTTTACAATTATACAGCAATATTTTCCTCTTCCCTGGTTATTTCTACTTATTACCCCCAAATTTATTAGACGTCTTACTCTCTGGAGCTGCATAAATAAGATGAAAAAAATGCATCAGCTTCAATTTACAGACTGGGGATTCAAATTATTTCCAAGTGATTTACATCAAGCCTAGAAGAGAACCCAGGTGTCTTCACGTTACTTGATGTAACCCTACCCAGAGTGACACCACAGGGGTGCAGGTTTGTGTTCAGCAGGGATGGCAAGGCAGATAGGACACACCAAGCCAAAAAACAAACCAAACAAAGAAAGGCAGACTGAAAGAAAAAGTAAAGGAAAAAGGCTGCTCACCTAAAATAGTTTGCCTTTTTTCTGCAGGAGAAAGGTTGAACACGTTGCCGTGGTCTCCTGGATCAGTTTTGTAGTACGTCTCGATATCAATAGAGAACTTCTCCACGAAAGGACACGTGTACCTGAAAGCCAGAACAACAGCTTAGAGCAAATCAGCCCCAAATCCCAGCCAGCCTTCACTCATCTTTTACCTCAGATATGCTTAAAATACCGATTGGACAGATTAAAGAGATTGTTCTTTAATAACTCCTTAAGACCGGAGCTCACCGGTTTTCAGCGAGAAGATAAATTTTGGGCCCACTATACTAAAAAGTGATGTTATGAAACACATACTAATACAAGGACACTCTGGAAATGCTCCTGTGCAAGGAGAAAAGCAGAGCTCCTGTCTGAAATCTGCGGCAGAATAAAATATGGGCTGGTTCTGTGCAGCACAGGTTTCCTGGTCAACTGATTGACTCATGGGCATTTCAAGGGAAGAGATAAAAACTGACTGGACGTGGACTTTAATCACTTGAAAGTCAGGCAGCTCCACCATATTCAGTCACTGGCAATGGCCCAACGGCAAATACTGACTCCCTACCTTTCCCAGGACTGATGTCACTTGGAGAGACCAGCTAAAACAGAAACAAGGAAACTTTTCCAGGTTTCTTGATAAAAATATCCCTTAAAGCCCTTTTATTATGAAAGATGACAGCAATATCAGACTTGCAGATCTGGCAAAGTGCAAATGCTCTAAACTAGAGCAACTGGCATAAAGGCTGTTTATTCCAGGGTATCTGAAGTCCTCCCAGACAAAATCAGCCCAGAGGGCTCCACAGAGGCTCTGGCTCTCTTCCCTCCTCAGGGTGAAAACGGTAGGATGTAGGTTTCTTAGTTTCTACTTAAATGACAGAAAGACAGTTCCCACAAAAGAAGCACCAGATTTATTTATCTATTTATTAATATTTTTTCTTCCCCTGTAGAACAAAACGAATCCTGTCTTCCTTGACAGCACTCAGCATGACATCTGTCCCAGCACCGGCTACATTTATAACTTCCCCGAGCCAGCAGACATCTGCAACGTTAAGCAGAACACGCCGTGCAGGATGCAAGACTAAATAAAAACCATTCAGGATTTCCCACGCTTTGATGGACAAAACAGCTCAACATTTTAGAGCAGCGAGCCACAAATTCTCCGGCAACGTCCGCAGCCAGCCCAGGCGATGGAGACGAAGCGCTGCCGAAGAATTTCAAGACTTGACTCCGGTTTTTCTAAAGGATATGACTGGGGAGGGAGGAGTGGCACAGTTTTACCTTGTCCTGGTGTAAGGATAAGCATTCCATGACTCCTCTTCGACTCGCAGAGCCGCCTTGGGCAGGATGGAGCGGAACCAGCTGGGGATGTGCATCCCGATGTGATACACCTTGTGAGTGTACTGCCCGTTGCCTCCCGGCCCATCCACGTAGGGCCTGTTCTCCAGGATCTCCACCCCGCTGCCTTCCCCACATGTCTCCTCTCTGCTCTTTTTCTGGAAGGGAAAAGTCTCACACAGTTACTCTTTCCAGGTTGTTGTAACTGCCAGGCTCTCAAAGCACACAGACCCTGGGGATGGTTTCTAGGAGTCCTCTGAAACAGAGAGCTGTAGCAGCACCCTGGCACTAAGGTTGCCAAACCTAGAGATTATAAAGGAAAAATTTAGAGACTTGTCTGGCCAACAAAAAAACAGCTAACTAATTTATTAGAAATCCTGTGAAAATTCTGATTTGGATACTAAGTCTGAATGGAGATCTACTGACACCTCAGTTCCTGCTCCTGTAACAGGTTTACACATCACACCCCAAAACCTGGCTCCAGCTGTGAATCACCCAACAGCACAAAAATCTTTTACATCAGCAGATGGCACAGCAAAAGGGAGTTTGTTCAGCCTGGCATGTTGCTGTGGGGGTGTACCAGCACCAAGAATTGTACACAACTTGGCACAGCATCATCTCAGGTCGGACACGAGGAGGAACTTCTTTACTCAAAGGGTGGTCACACATTGGAAGGGGCTGCCCAGGGAGGTGGTGGAGTCCCCATCCCTGGAAGTGTTCAAGAAAGAGCTGGATGTGGCACTTCAGTGCTCTGGATCTGGTTGACAAGGGGGTGATTGGTCACAGGTTGGACTCGATGATCTTGGAGGTCTTTCCCAAACTAAAGGACTGGATGATCACAGAGCTAAAGACCATTCTGTGACCTAATCCCACAGGATCTGGGGGCTTGTTGCACGAGATCTGGCCTGGCAGCAGCTCTCCAAGTAGAAACTATGCTCTGCTAATTAAGATATTTAGAAGAAACAACCCAAGTTTGCCAGAATGCACACTGCACCCCTTGGCAGCCCTCGGATTTTGGCTTATTTGTGGGATTGTCCTTCATTGAGAAACCTGGCAAAAAGTCCTTCAATTAAAAAAAACCCAACTAATCTCAGTGCTTCTAAGAAGAGCTAGAGGCAAACCAAATATTTATTGATGTCTAACACACTTCAGCAGACTGGATGATGTATAACCTGCATCATTTCCAAACAACAGATTCATCCTGTTAGCATTTTGAGTTCATTGTTTGTATTCGAGAGCACAGTGCTTTGAAAATTAGGTGGGAAAAAAGGAATTTTACACCAAGAATCAACTGGGAAACGTAACACAATAACAACTTCTCATTTCTGGCACACAAACAATTCAAAGGATAACACGGTTTAACAGAAAATTATTAATCAGATGTGAGAGATCAACTTCTCATCTTTTGAGAACAAGATGATAAGCCAACAGAGCCATTTAGAAGTAAATAGCTCCGTTTTTAAAGAGCTTTCAAGTGATATAAAATTTAAACAGCCATAACGAAGAAACCTAAACAACTGACGATCTAAAGAGTAAGTTTTTTCTCAGTCTCCAAACCGCAATAGAAAAAAAATAGAAAAACAGAAAAGTACTTTTTTTACAGTTTGTTTCTAACACTCAGCTGGCAGTTCATTAAAGCACACATCCTCTTCAAACAAATCACTGACTTTCAGTTCTTATATAAGCACTGACCAAGTCCTGTACAAATATTTATGACAATAACATTAAATAATCTTGATGACCCCAAAATCTAGTTAATTCAAAGGTCTTGGAAAAGGCAGTAGCCCAGCCAGCACAGTGAATGTGTCAGAATAACAGTGCAGCATCTGCTCTGAACAGTTCATACAAATTATGGAGATGTAGAGTTTTATTATGTGGCAGAGGCTCACGGAAATCATAAGCAAAGGGAAGATGGGTTCTCTTCATGCCAACTTATCCCAGTAGAATTGGACATCAGATGGATTTAAAACTCCATTCTAGAGCCCAGTCCATTCTGCAAGTCCTCATTTGGGACCAAAACATCCACACTCAGAGCCAGCACTGACATTCTCCACTTGGCTCTTCGCTACTCAGCTGCTTTTAACAAAAACCTCTTTGCGTGAGGATGAGCTGACTGGTTCTCATCCTACAGCTGGAACCCTCTGACCCACCATGCCAGCCAGTTTGGTTTTTTTTTTTACATTAACACTTCCATAAAGAGCTTTTCCACATGGTAACACTGAGGTTCTCAGCCAGAGCTGCCTGATGACGGGAGATGGGAGGGTGACACCGTGTTCTGGCCCCAACACTTTATGAGGAGACAGAGAACGCAAAAACTCAAGTCCACTGAAACTCTTTGTGAAAGTCAGTGCACATCTCACTTCTGATCCCTGATTTTATTTACTTCTATGCACCTGCAACAGACTGCAAACCCTATTCTGAGAGCAGGGCATGCTTCCTCCTTCAGACTTTCCAGGTGACCACCTCCAGCCCACAGCCTCTGTCACCCAGTTCCAAACCTTAAGCAAATTTTGGCCCTACACATTCCTCCTACTTGTCACTTTATCCACATAAGATATGACAAGGGCAGCAAGAACATTTTCTTAGATGAATGTGAAATAAGAGCTGCAGCTCTGCTGACAAAAATTAAAAAAAAAAATAAAAAAAATCAAAGATTATAACCCAAACTATCTTTAGAGCCAGGACTTTTGAGTCAGGCCAAATTTATACTCAAAACACAACACGTTGCTGGGAAGGATAGTCTGATCACAGAGAAACTCCATACAATAAACCCACACAAAAAGCTGTTTCCCAGCCCTTCTCACCCTCGTACTTACCAGCTGGCTCGTTGAGAAGGCAACAAGTGAGGTAAGGAAGAGCCAAAAGGGCCAGGGTCAGTACAGTCACTGACCAGCCACTAAAAGATTTCTTTCTCATATGATAAAAATAAAGACATCAGCCACCTGCACTTGAGAGACCAGGATGATACTCTGGGTGTAAGTGGTGCTGTCAAAGTGAAGCACTTCTGGGAGTGAAGAGCAATTTGCTCTTCAGCCATAAAGCCTTTTCATGCCTATTGTGACTGAGCCACAGCCTGGAGGGGGCTCGTTACAAGAAGTGATCTGTAAACAACAATTAAAAAACAACCATTGATTAGGAAAACATTGGGTGTGAGGAGTGTCTGGCAAAGCCTCTCCAAAGAATATCTGCTGGGGGGGGCAGATGTGCAGGCATTTTAGGGTCAGTCTCCCAGGTTTCAGCCTCATAGACCCATGTCCCTGGGAGAAGCAGAGACTTTATTTAGCAGCTTACCTGTGCCATTACTACTCACTACTGACACAGCATCTTCCCTCTGTGACTATCTGAGGAATGGTCCCCAACGAAATCAAAGAGTAGCTCACAGCCTAAATATGCAGGTTATCTAAGCCATAATCACAGTAAACCATCTTATATTGTATTACAACAGGAAATCCAGTCATCCCTTTAGAAGTCCCTCTCTTGTGCTGATGACACTCCATGTTCTGCACGGCCCCATCAATAGCTTTTCAGGACAGATGGTGACACAGATCCCTTCTAGCTAAAGTAATAGCATTAAATTACTCATAACAGGGAACCCAGGGAAGCAGATGCACCATGATTAGCAAGAATGCCAGTTACTTAAAGGCTTCTATTAAAATAAATCTCTTGGCACAGCAGCATAGCATGGGACACAGCACATGACCTCAGCACAGCAATCACAGATGAATAATTCCCATGAATGTCATTTAACCACTGGGCAAGCCTAACCCCATTTATCATCTGCCCTTCACAACAGGAGAAAAGCAGCTGGAGGCAAAGCCTTTCACTAGCAAAGGCAGGTTGGACAGCTCTCAGATCTTCCACCTCCTTTCCCAGTCAGAAATGTGCCTCCCCACCAGTTTCCATCCCGCAAAGCTGAGTGGCACCAGGTGACTCAATGCCACTTGGATACTGCTCTAGCGGGACACAGTTCCCTAAAGGAATGATGATAGATGGCAACAGAAACCCACACAACCTGAGGAGTCTCACCACAGCTGGAGGAACAGCACTGACACCAGAATGCCCAGTGCTGGGTGAAACAGTCAGGGTGTGGCTTACTGGATCAGCTGGAGAAACAGAGAAGTTAGCCTGGGTAAGCTAAGCTTGGCTTGCAGTGTTTTGATTTTGGTGAATTGGAAGAAAAAGCAGCCCTGCAAACCAACTCAGAAGAACACCAAGAAGAACATTATCCTAAATCAGAATCCTTCTCCTTGTGTTCCAGCCCAGGCTGCCCGTGGGCTCAGGTGCATAAGCAGGGAACCTCTGCAAAGCCAACAGCAGCACTGCAAACAGCTCAGGGGTTTACTTTCTCCTGAAGTTGTCTTTTTTTATTGGAACTTACTCCTTCGAGCACTGCAATGATACTGCAGAGAACAGTAAAGGTTGCCCGGTGGTAATGGGTGATCCAGGCATTGTTCTAGCTTTCAGAAACAGATTATAGCAATAATCCTACCTTGTTTACCACTGATTGTTGTTTACAGTACAACCTCTCAATCTAAATAACTGAGAGAGTGGTTACAAAAGGCTGAGATGCTTTAGATTCCCCCCGAAGTTCTTCCATCCCCACAGCAATGCAGTCACACAGCGGCCGACTCTGAGGGCCCACGAGAGTTTTGATTTGAGATTACTCCAATTATGGAGACTGACAGCACTTGACAGACCTATCATCCACAGATAACGAAGACACAAATCACTGTCTGGAAACAATAACCAGAAGATCTTTTCCGTGGTGTTTTATCCTCCAGCTCCCAGTTGGAAACAAGGTATTTTGACAGTCCAGACAAATTCTTCTGGGAGAATGCATTAAAATAACACTGAACTCTTGGGATTTTTTTAGCCCACTTAGACACAGATATGGACACAAGAAGTTTCCAGCCAGCTGATGGTTTCACTTAACAATGACAGCAATGACATCTATGTAACCACAGAACAAGAACATGACAGCAAATATCCCCAGAGGATCCCTAACATACTTGCTCATCTTGTGGCAGGGGAGGCTGAGAAAACATTCCCTCTAACCAATTACTATTTTTTTTGTTATTGTTTTGGATGCTAAGGCTACCACAAATCCCAATTAAGTGTCCAGAAAGAGATCTGTCCTTTGGGAAGCAAAGCCTGAAGC